CTTGGAGGTTGATGTATGTTTTGTTGCTCCTCACTCTGCCATCCCTGGTGGGAGACCTCAACATCAAGAATCAGGTTAGAGTAAGAGCCGGGTGCCAAGAGCCAGGTGCCGGTGGCTCACGCCTGTAATCTAGCTAATCAGGAGGCTGAGGTCTGAGGATCATAGTTTGAAGCCAGCCCAGGCTGGAAAGACCATGAGAGAGATTCTTTTTTTTTTTGTCGGTTGTGGGGCTTGAACTCTGGGCCTGGGCGCTGTCCCTCAGCTCTTCAGCTCAAGGCGAGCGCTCTACCACTTGAGCTACAGCGCCACTTCCGTTTTTTTCTGGTGGTTTATTGGAGATAGGAGTCTCACGGTCTCTCCTGCCCGGGCTGGCTTTGAACTGAGATCCTCAGATCTCAGCCTCCTGAGTAGCTAGGATTACAGGCGTGAGCCACCAGCGCCCGGCTCATGAGAGAGATTCTTATCTCCAATCAATTGCCAAAAAAGCCAAAGTGGTGCTGTGGCTCAAGTGGTAGAGCGCTAGCCTTGAGCACAAAAGCTCAGGGACAGGACCCAGGCCCAGAGTTCAAGCTCCAGGACTAGCAAAAAAAAAGAAAAGGAAAAGATGGAGACATTTTGAGCCCACTGAGCTGGTTGGTAACAGGGTTGCTGGAGTGTGGGGTTGGACAGCACGGAGGACAGCATTTCCTGCCTGTGGCGGGCCTGCGTCAGGGACTGAGTGGCCAGAAGACTGGGGCCTAGACCCTGACTTCTCCAGGGGCCTTTAAAGTTGCCCTGAACATTTTAGAATCTGTTTCTTCTTGCAGAACCTTGATTTATAGCTCCCAGGTAGGTGGTAGATACAAATGAGTATAGAAATACAGAATACACACTATAGAGAGAAACAAATATTTGATGACTGCATATGGAATCTGACCCAACACGGCCTGTTCCCCAGGCACATGGGGTCGTAATTTACGAATGAAGGCGGCCTGCAGGCTGGTCACCCTGAACGCTTTAGATGGCATTAGATTGTTCTCTGGCTTTCACTGCTTCTGACTAGAAGTTGGTGCTTTTTACACCTTTATGAATTATATGTTATTGCCTTTTTTTCTCTTCACCTTTAAAGTTTTCATCTTTGGTTTCAGCAGTTTGGTACACACACACACACACACACATCTTTGGTTTCAGCAGTTTGGTACGTACACACACACACACACACACACACACACACACACACACACACACACACACACACACACACACACACACACACACACACACACACACACACACACACACACACACACACACACACACACACACACACACCCCCCTTTTGATGAACCGGACTCTGAAGCTCCTTAGACTTTTTAGATCTGTGGGATGACCACTTCATTTAATTTCCATTAAATTTAATAACATTTTAGACTACTACTGATTCTTAATTTTGTTTTCTTTTCTACCCAGGTAGTTTCCTTTTTTTTCCCTGTAATCTCTTTATGCTGCAATATATTTTTGATTATTTTTATTTTTCTATTACTGCTCCTCCCCCCTCCTTTTTTTGTGGGGAGGATCGTTTCTAATTGTTTTTATTGAGGATCTGATTGAGAGTTAGAAGAGGCTGACCACTGTACCAGAGGCTGGGGACTTCTGGGAGGATGGCAGGAAACATGTTCGTAGCTCCTTGTGGGCTCACATTCCATAGCTATCATGTAGCATAGCAGCTCCTCAGAGAGTGGAGATGGTAGGAGGTCAGCCGATTGGGAGGGCATTGTCCTTCTGTCCATACCACAGGGTCCCAAGCAGGGCTTCTCTGTAAGGACTGGCTACGAGTTCTCTCCTGATTATGCCTAACCATTTTTTTAGCTCTTCTTTGTGACCCTCTGATTGAGACACTGTAACTTTTCTTGACATTACACAGTTCCTCTTCTTCACTCTGAGGTACATTTCACAAGAAATTTCCTTTTTTTTTTTCCTGGTGCTGTTTGAATTTGGGGCTTGGATACTGTCCCTGAGCTTTTCTGCTCAAAGCTAATGCTCTACCACTTGAGCAACAGCTCCACTTCCAGTATTTTTGGTAATTTAGTGGAGATAGGAATCTCCAGCCAGCCCAGGCTTGCTTCAAACCATGATCCCCAGGTCTCATCCTTCTGAGGATTACAGGCATGAACCACCAGCATCTAGCCTTTAGGCGTTATCATTCTTATCCTTGTTTTGGAAAAGTGTAACTCATATTGTCTGTATATATTCATGTTTTCTTTTTCCTTTGTTGGGGGGATGGGGTGGGGGTGTTGCTGGTCTTGGATCTTGAACTCAGGACCTGGACAGTGTCCCTGAGCTTCTTTTGCTCAAGGTTAGCATTCTACCACTTGAGCCACAGCACTTCTGTCCTTTTCTGTGTATGTGATACTGAGGAATAGAACCCAGGGCTTCGTGTGTGCTGGCAAGCACTCTACCCCTGAGCCACCTTCCCAGCCCTGAATAGTTGTTTATTCTTTCTCCCCAGGAGCTTCAGCGGCTGGAAACAGAGCTAGGCCGACCTCCTGAGCGCTGGAAGGACACCTGGGACCGGGTGAAGGCTGCTCAGCGCCTTGAAGGCCGGCCAGATGGACGTGTAAGCTGGGATGGGAGCTGGATTTGGGGACTGAGAGTGTTGCCAGGAGAAGGCCGGGATTATCCGTGGTCAGTCGATAGACTGTCTGTCTATAAACCATACTCTGCTGCCCCAGGGCGCTCCCAGCTCCCTACTGGTGTCCAGTGTGCCCCACCATCGCCGCTCGCTGGGCGTGTACCTACAGGAGGGGCCTGTGGGCTCCACCCTGAGCCTCAGCTTGGACAGTGACCAGAGTAGTGGCTCCACCACATCTAGCTCCCGCCAGGCTGCTCGACGAAGCACCAGCACGCTGTATAGCCAGTTCCAGACAGCAGAAAGTGAGAACAGGTTTGTGGGGGCCTCCTGCCTCGACCTCTGGGGTTGATTTCTCAGATTCAGGGGGTAGGTGCCTTTGGAGAGTCCTGTGGGGGGACTCTTCCGTATTGGAAGGGGCTTGGGGTATGGGCCCTCTGAGACAGCAGGACCGAGGGCAGTGCTGTGGGAACCCATGTGGCTGGTGGCCGGTAAGGCTCCATGTACAACAGGGTCCAGCCCACAGTGAGCCTCGTAACCATCCTGTAGCTGCTGTAAGCTGCCTGCACACACCTGCTTGCTGAGTGTTCCTCTTTCAGAGTGCCCGCCCCGTGTGTCGGCTACTTCCCTGACCCACAGCTCTGGTTTTTGGAGTCCATTATGATGGGGATGGGGGGACCCTTCATGTCTTTTTTGGAGACAGTCCCTTCCTGACGGCTGGCCCGGCCCTGGTTCTGGTGCACATGCAGGTCCTATGAGGGCACCTTGTATAAGAAGGGGGCCTTCATGAAGCCCTGGAAGGCCCGCTGGTTTGTGCTTGACAAGACCAAGCACCAGGTGAGTGGTGGTGGCTGGGGGGGGGGGGGGGGGGGGGGGACTCTCAGGGTTCGGGCCGGCCCTGACCCGCCCCGTCCCCACCCCAGCTGCGTTACTACGACCACCGGGTGGATACCGAGTGCAAAGGTGTGATTGACCTGGCAGAGGTGGAGGCCGTGGCTCCCGGTACCCCCACCATGGGTGCCCCCAAAACTGTGGACGAGAAAGCCTTCTTCGATGTGAGCCTTTTGCCGGGGCACAGGAGGTGAGGGAGGGGCTTGCAGCGTGGGGGCTGTGGAGTCAGTAATGCTCTCTTCCCAGGTAAAGACAACACGTCGAGTTTACAACTTCTGTGCCCAGGATGTGCCCTCAGCCCAGCAGTGGGTGGACCGGATCCAGAGCTGCTTGTCAGATGCCTGACCCCCCCCCAGCCTGCCCAGGCTGCTCTGCTTCCAGTCGTCACAGACCACTTGGGGTGGGCAGGGCCGCCCCGGCCATGTTTACAGCCCCGGCCCTCGACAGTATTGAGGCCCTGAGCCCCCAGCACTTGTGTGTACAGCCCCTGCCCTGCCTGGCCAGCTCTAACTTATTGTTGTCATGGCTGAGCGCCGAGCTGGGATGCGGCCATGGTACAGCCCTGTGATGGGCCTGTAAATAGTTCGTCCTGCCCGTCGGTGTGCTAGCCCCGGCTGGCTGGCCGCGGTGAGCTGTTTCTAGAACCAGAATCTATATAAAGAGAGAACTAACGACACCTCCTATGTCTGCTCCACTTAAATACCTAGCTCAGGCCTCCCGGCCCCAGCCCTGGGTCTGCCTCGTGTATCTTTGATGGTATGAGAACAGCTTCGCTGCAGGGGGGAACTTCATCAAGCTGTGCAGGTACAGGACCCCTGACCCTGCCCTGCCTCTCTTCCCAGTGTCGGGGAAGCTCCAGGTGAAGTAGGGGAGCTGTCTGGGCCTCTAGAGGCCAATCCAGAAGGGGAAGGCAGTAGGGGCCACATGGGATGAGAGTAAGTTCCCAAGGAAAAGAAGGTCCTCAAGGCAACTGAGATGGTGAAATGTGGCCAAACAGGGGGTGATGCCTTAACACCTCCCTTCCCTCCCTTCCCTGGGGTCCCCATAGAAGTCCCTGAGCATCCCGTGTTCTGCTGCTGGGTTCCTCTCACGCTTTCCTTTTCCATGGGCCAGCAAGTCCCACCTGGACCAGGGCTTTACCTGCTTGGCTGAGGCAAAAATGGGCGGAGGGCGGAGGGGTATGGGTGCTACTCTGAGAATGTCCCAGAGTGACCACTGATGCTGCGTGGCGCCCTGACCAAAGGGCTGGTGGCTTCGGGGCCATCCTCGAGGTGGGTTGAAGTAGCACAACTGAAAACAGTGCCTGGGCCCCTTTCGGGGACTGTGTGTTTTGTTGATAAGGTTTTTACTTGTTAAGACAGAAAACTCAGTATCTTCTGTGATGCAGAGACCCACTGCTGATTGCTTGTGATCCAAAGTTGGGCCTAAAAAAGGTGCTGGAGGAGACACCGCATCCTCAACAGATTGGAGCGGTGCTCTCAGTTGAACAATACACAGTTCATAAGAATGATACAACTTTTATTGGGGATTGGAGGAGGTGCCCTGTCGCGGATGTCAGAACATGAAAAGAGAACTCAGTGTAGGCAGAGTAGTCTTCCAGACCCTTCTCGGACAACCTGGGCCCTCTCAGTCTCTGAGCCGCTCAGTGGCCTGAGCTGCTCCTGCGGGTCCTCCTGACTACCTACCCACCTGCCACCAGTCTGCCCTGTTCACAAGCTCAGAGACACCACACCCCTTGCAGGCCCCATCTCGTTAAGGCAGTCAAAACTTGCCACCTGGTTCAGTGCTAGTCTTCATGGCCATCAGGTATAATGCTGAGTTTTGACCCCATGTGGCCAAACCAGCTCCTAAGTCATGTGCGTTTGTGGGGTCATGTCTCCTTAGCCCAGACCCTCACTTTTGCCCTGAGTCAGGGAAGCCCCTGTACAGTCTCTGGATACAAAGTGCAAAAACTCGCTTCTGCATGTAATTAAAAAAAAAAAAATAGTGAAAAGAGCCTCAGTCTCTGCACGCTTCCAGCCCATCACGTCATACGGCCTGTTGAGATCTGAGTCCCTGATCCCCACCCCTGCAGGAAGAGGTTGCACATTGGGGACCTTATTGCTGTGCAGGGTCTGCCCGGGGGACTGGCAAGGCGTGTCCTCTGCCTCCAGCAGGGCCTGAGTGGCTCAGGTTGGGCAGGAGAGAGACAGCTGGGTCATCTGTCTGGTTCCAACCGCCAGCTTTACCAATGCAGCATTTATTTTAAAATTAAACTTTTAAGAAAGGAAACTGATTGCGTCACCAGGTCGTTCTGATGCAGCAGGGTGCTGCCTGACCAGGGTGGGCCGTGGCTGGGTGGCAGCAGCGTTACACAGGACCGTTTAAGGCAGCTCCTTCTGGTGGGTCATCTGTCTTTCTGCAGAAACCGGGGCAGGGTTGGAGGCACCTGGCCCTTGGCCCCTCCAGCCTCCTGCCCCTCCCCCGCCAACTTGCTCACCTGTCCTTTGTCACTGTCCCCACGGAGGCTGGGGCTGCCAGGGCTCTTGCCGTGAAGGGGCCTGCGGGGGCTGTGGCAGCCAGTGCAGAGGAAACGGCTTTGGGAGGGCCTGTCTTGCTCAGCATAGTGGCAGCCACGGTGCCCTCGGGAGGCACGGCCGTGGCTGGAGCGGCGGTCACTTGGGCGGGTGCAGGGCGGGCGGGCTCTGGCGGCATGCTGTCAGCACACTTGGCCCTGTGTGGTAGACAAGGGCTCTGGTCACGGGCACCCCACCCTCCTCGGTGCTGCCCAACTTCCCGTACTCGAGGACCGGTGGTAGGGTGGCCCCATCTACAAGGCTGCCGGGGAGCACTGCACTCTGCCCCTCCATTCCTGCACTCTGGGGTGGCCCAAGACAAGCTGTCTGCCCACCATGAACGCTATCCTTCCTCCAAGCAGCCCTCAGGCCCTGGTACCAGGGAAGCAGTTCCCTATGGGGACTCTGAGGACCTCTGGCTTCAACTCCTGCCTTACACTAGCCACTCGGAGACCTGAGAGGAAAGGGTTCTGCTGGGCGCTGGGGGTGGTCTTCCTCAGGGCCCTAAGGCCAGCCTAGAAAGAAGGGTGCCCAGGAGGGGCCAGGGCAAGTGAGTTTCCTCACAGGCTGGTTGGGACCTATCCATGGTACAGCCAAGCGGCAGGTGCAGTGCCATGTTACTTTGCATACAGCAAGGATAAACAGTTTCCTTTTGAAGCACTTAGGAGAAAAGAAGAAAAACAAGTTGTCAGCATCAGTTACAGTGTGGGACCCTCTTCAGGTCTTGGCCCCTCGAGGGCAAGGTGTCTGGTGAAGAGGGTCCTAGGCTGCAAGCTGTTTGTACTGCCCAGCCAGGGTTCTTATGTTCCCAGGGTAGTCCTGAGATGAGACTCACTTTCGGAGTGTGCTGGACACCTGAATGTAGCCAGCACACATCTCCCACAAGGGAGCAGCAGGCCAGCCTGGCCAATGTCAAGTAAAAGGCTGCCCCTCACCCATACCACCATCTAGTTTCTGGGAGGCTCAGAGGCCTGGAGCCCTGTCTGGTGCTTTGTAATCAGGCCTGTGTGTGGAGGCTCTCTCTCCAGATCTCCTGTTGGGATCCTGGAACATTCACGCCCTATTGGCTGAACCACTCAGAGACCAAACAGGCTCTGTGTCGTCAAGAGGCTTCCCATCTTGTTTTTAAGGCAGTCAGAATTTGCCGGCTGGTTCAGTGCTAGTCCTCATGGCCACCAGGTATAATGCTGAGTTTTGACCCCACGTGGCCAAACCAGCTCCTTAGTCACATGCACTTTTGCCTTGTGCAGTCTGGATGCACGAAGCTCCCACAGCCATCAAGAGAGTGGTGAGGGAGCTCAGCCTGGCCTCTGCTTGCTCCCAGCAGATCTGAGAATGAGTGACTTGAGCCTAGATCTGCCAGAGGCCTGCAGCCCCCAGCCTGGAGCTACACTGTGTATACGGGGGCCCTAGACAAACGTGCCAACCCCTGTGCACCTGCCAACAGTAGCTTCCTCTTTCCTGGGCAGCTTGGGGACTTCCAGACCATGGCTGGTGTTCACAGCGTCCACACTGCCAGCTACCTTCTCATCCTCCTCGCTGTCAGAGCCCCCGGAGGAGCTGCTGTCAGAGGCCACCAGGGGGGCCTTCCTGGTGACACACACACTCCAAGTGCACGGTGAGGTGGGACCGACTGCAAGACAAGGAGGCCTGTGATGTGCTTGAGGCAGAGCCACCGCACAGCCACCGTGGCTTCAGGGCCCCAGGCCCCGGAGTGCTGACATGCAGCCAGCTGGAAATCACACAGCCTGCCAAGTGTCACTTGTACACAAGTGTACCTGGGTGTTCTCAGGAACCACATTAACTTCTATTCACCCTCAAAGCAGACCTTCCACTCCCCACTGGACAGAACAGATGTGTGCTGTTAGCAGAAGAGGCAGCTCAGAGGGCTCCCCCCATTTGCTTCAAGCCTGGCACCAGGGAAGGATGTGCGGGTGGTGCTACCGCTCTGTCTTGCCGCTGCCTAGGACTCTCATGCCTGGTCTTGGGGGCCTTTGAGCCCCTCGGACTACAAAGGTGGGGAAAAAGGCCATGGGCTTGGATCAGACCCCGTATTGGCTTCCTGCCTGAGACTCATGAGTTTTTCCATATTGAGACCCCAAATCCTGCTAGGACACCTACAAGGGACCTGGCCCACATAGCAAGGCCAAAGCTGCCTCCACAGGCAGCCCAGTGGTGGCGCTGCTCCTCCTGGGTCCCCAAGCCAGGGGCACTCCATCTGTACACAGCAGCAACCCCTAAGTACATATGAACCCTAGTATCACAAGGAGACCGTTACACCTGGAGCACTGCCACTTCTTCCCACTGCCCCAAGGGCCTGAGAACTAGGCAAGGTCAAGTCACCTGAAGGAGCCTGGGGGTAGCATGCACCACAGCTACTCACAGGCTTTCCCTGGGCCTGCACTCTGGCTGCCCTCGGTGTGGCTGCTGTCCATGTCCACGGGGGAGCTGCACCTAGGCCCAGACTCAGAGCTGCAGGCGAAGATGGAGACAGGCTGAGTGTGTGGGGTTAGTTACCCCAACCCCAACGGGGAATGCTTCGTGAACCCTGTGTGCTGATGTGCTTTGTTACCAGCAGAAAGGCTGAAAGTCGGAGAACTTGGCCCAGCCTTTCTCTTCCGGAGCCGAGGGGCTGGCTGCCCACACACTAGAACCCACGTCCCTGGCGGCTGCTGGGGTTGTGGGCGTTGCATTCGCCAGCTCATCAAACACTGCAGTCCAGGCAGCCCCTGCCGGGGAGAAAGAGCTGTCAAGAGTGGGCAGGCCTGGCCTGGCCACTCCTCAGCCCCCCAGGGCTCAGCACCCAAGGAGACCCCGATGAACCCTCCTTGCCTGCGCTGCCTGAGCCGGCAGAGCTCCCCAGAGGAGCTCTGTAAGAGAATGGTGGCGGCCCCCAGGCCCTAACACCTTGGGTGGTGGAGGCTTCAACACCTACAAGGCATGTAGAAGTAACCATATGCCGCTGGTGTGGTGCTCAGCAGGCACCCAGGGGCTTCACCTGGCCTCTAGTGGAGCTGGCGGCGCAGAGGAGACATAGCCCCACCTGTCCTGCCCCAACTGTCCCAGTGAAGGCCCGAGAACAAGCCCCACAGGCCCTGTGCCCGGCCGTGAGCGTGGTCTGTCCCTATTGTGGATGTCCTTGCTGCTGGCCTTGCAGCTCCTGCTCTTGTCCCCTCCCAGTGGAAAGCTGCCCTCTTGCCCATGTGCTGACCACTTCAGGACTACTTCAGGCAGAGGCAGGAAAAGGGTCCTGAAAGGTGGCATGTCTGGTGTGCACAGTGCTGCTGAGCAATGCTCAATGGCCGGCACAGCATCTAGATGAGTGTCTGGGAGACACCACTCACACAGACCAGGCTGCCAGTGACCATAATAGAAGGGGAAATGCAGGAGCCCTCCTGGATGTGGGCAAACTGCAGGGCAGGACCCACCCACATCAGCTCAAGACAGCCAGGAAAGCGACTGCCTTCGAGAGTGTGTATAATGGGCGGGGGTGGGGGTGGGGGTGCAGATGGGGCTGCTGACCGCAGGCCACAAGCAGCAAGAGATGCCTTGGCTCCAGAGGAAGCTGAGGCGGGCACTGTGCCAGCTCAAAGCCCCGTGTTCTCTGTGGGTCCCTAGCGCGTCACTGTGGATTACCTTCTGACACGGGGCCTTCGCTCTGCACAGAAGCCAGAGGGGTGCCCACCCCAGGTGCATTCCTGGCTGCCTCCGAGCTGGCTTTCTTGTCCTGACCATTCTTTGAGTCGTTTTCTGGAGCATGGGGACCTCCGAACCTATGAAGGGTCCAGAGGCACGGTTGGATGGCTGGTGGCCTACGAGGACCACCCAACACGAGTGCTGGTATCGGCCCATGGCTCAGGGCCGGGCGAGTGCAGGGTGCCCAGCGGGAGGTTCAGTTCTGAGCCTCTGGTCTGACCTCATTAGGACCTCTGGGACCTAATGCGCGTGAGAGTGGCTGGGTGTCCCGTGGGTGCTTTCGCACCTGCAAATCTCCAGTGGAGGCTTGGAGAGGATGGAGAGGCCCCTGTACCTGGCTCTGGCCACCCCCCGAGCAGTGCAACGAGTCTCCTCATCTTCCCAGATATCCTCTTCTTCCTCATCGTCAAAGGGCTGAATTCTGTCACTGCAGCAGGCTTCAAACAGAGCTGCACTGGGCTGCAAGACAGAGAACAACAGAGTCAATTTCTGGAGAGCCTGGGGAAGCTTTGGACCTGGAGTTCTAGAGGAATTCGCTCACTGCCTGGAGGGCAGGATGGGAGGAAGCAATGAGCGCAACTCTGCTTCCAGCTACATGAAGGGCCCTGCAGTTCAAACACATGCAGACTACTGAGTAGAGTCCCCCGTGGCCCATCCACCTCCAACAAGGGCCAGACTGTGAGCACAATCTGAGATACCTGGGCAAGGGGCATAAAGGGACACCTTCTATAGTCCCAGGCACAGCCCTGATCACTCACACTGTCCTCATCGGCATCAATGTTGAAGTTGATCTCTGCAATCCGATCAAATGGGGCACTGCAGGGGAAGAGGAGACCCTCAGTGCCTCCGGTGCAGGGCTGGTGAAATGTGTCTGGGTACTCTCAAGCAGTGGGAAGACATATTCCTGGCAAGACCATCAGGAGCTGCCTTCATGAGGATGGAGTTCAAGAAAGAAGCATTGAGCCTTGCCCAGAACCAGAGTCCCCACCATGCCCACTCACTTGATGTTGTCATCCTGGTCTGCAAATTCCTCGTCATTGAAGCCAAACTGATCCACGAAGTTGGCTGTCATCTGTTGGATCTGGTATTCGGAAAAGGCCTGAGAGAAAGGGGGGCCGTCACAGAGCAGCCCCTATCAGGAGGTGGCTCTCTGGAAGCCAGGATTTCTGGTGCTCAAGAGCCTCTGGCAAAGCAGGCAGTGAATTCTGGCAGCAGCCGCATGTTCAGAGTGGTTGCATGTACGAGAGCGCCTTCCTCATCTAAGCTCCGTGTCCCAGGGATCTCTCCAAGGCGATAGGAAGAGGTCTTCCCACAGAACCCCTCTCCCCCACGCGTGCTGGAGAAAGCCACTTCTCCCCTTCACTGTGCAATGCCACGGGGGACTACACACTACAAGGGCACGAGCTCGGGAAAGGCCCGGCAGGGTGCAGGATGCCGGCCATGCCCTCACCTGCTGAAGGGACAGCTCGTTAGGGAAAGCACCCTCAATGTCCTCGTCCTCACTTGAGGAGTGAAGGTGGTGAATGCTCACCTAAAACACAGGCCAGATGCAGCGGGCATGTGAGCCCGCAAGTGCCCCAATCCCACCCAGCCAGCACTGCCGAAGCCCCAGCCCCCAACCAGCCCAGCCTAGATCTGGCACTTGTCAGATTGCTGGGCCTGAGCAGCTGTGCGTAAGGGCAACGTGGCAGCCATCCTCTCCGGCACAGGGGCTCATCCCGAGTCTCCAGCGTGAGCACTTCACCAATAAGCCAGAGGAGGGACCGGCCTGAGAGCCAACACCACCTCTACACAGAGACCCTCAGGAGCCAGGAAGTCTGGGAATCACCCAGCGTGGTCACAGCTCTGCCCCTGTGCCTCCGCTGACCTATGCCACAGGGCACAACGTCCAGAGCGTCACTGGGCTCAACTACAGCGGCATGCCTTGGAGTGGGCCTGGGCTTCCTCACCAGGTCCACGGTGTTCCTGCGATTGGTTTCTGTCAGTGTCTCCTCCACAAAGTTCTCCCAGCGGCCGCGGCAATCTGCAGGGAGCCCTGCAAGGCAAGCGCTGCCCCGTGAGCCCTCGAGGCAGCCAGGGCACCGCAGGGCCGGCAAGCACGTTGTGGTTGGGAGGGGTGGGCCAGGCTTCTGTGGTGAGCCCAGCTGGGGCCCACGCCAGGGTCTACCGCTGGGAATGGCACCGCACAGTGCAGAGCGGAGCGCTCGTGAGCACCCGAGGACCCCAGTACATGCACAGAGCCAGCTTCTCCACCCCCACAGGCCTGGGCTCCGCAGGACCTGGTGAGCCTGTGCATGTCATAATCTGGAAATGTTGAGGGAAGACTAGGCAGAGAGCAAAAGTTCCCATTCTGGGGAACCAAGACCTACTCCACTTGTTCCCCCCCACCCCCCGCCAGCATGGGCCTCCAAGCTTGCTTGCTGTCCCACCCCAGGCTCATATCCCTATCATATGACCCAGTAACCGCAACCTACCACAGGCTCCTGAGCATGCGAGGAAGCCCTTTCCCTCAGATACTGGGGTGGGAAGGCTACTGGAATTTCCCTACTTTACATTTGCCTAGGAAGCTGCCTAGTGGATCTACAGAGCCAGTGAGGCAGGGCCAAGGCTCACTCCACTTTGGCTACACAGGCTGGGTACAGCTGACTCACTAACAAGCTGCTTTAGGCCAGTCCTAGAACCAAGGGGAATCTCCCCAGAGACCCCAACAAACTCAGAGACCTGAGCATGCTCAGCTCCTTCCTGGGCATCTCTAAGGCACTCTGCCTCTCTACCCTGAGAAATCCCAAAAGACCTGGGAAAACCCTATTTAGGCTTGCTGGTGTCCCCTTCCTTCCCAATACAACCCTGCCCTACTCAGCCAAGGCCCTCAAATCAGACACTGGTTCCACGGGCTGAGAAAGCACTCCAATTAACCACCAGAAAACTAGAAGTGGTGCTGTAGTTCAAATGGTAGAGTGCTAGTCTTAAGCACATAGAAAACTCAATGATAGCACCCAGACCTCGACTTCAAGCCCCACAACTGCCCCCCCCCCCCAAAAAAGACAAGAGAACAAGAGGAAGCCGGGCACCGGTGGCTCATGCCTGTAATCCTAGCTCCTCAGGAGGCTGAGATCTGAGGATCGTGGTTCAAAGCCAGCCCAGGCAGGAAAGTCCGTGAGACTCTTATCTCTAATAAAAACCACTAGAAAACTGGAAGTGACGCTGTGGCTCAAGTGGTAGAGTGCTCGCCTTGAGCTGAACAGCTGAGGGACAGCGCCCAGGCCCAGAGTTCAAGCCCCACAACAGACCAAAAAAAAAAAAAAAAAGAAAACAAGAAGAGTAGCATGTAGGAGGGTCCCAGGATAGTGGGCACCGTGGGAGGGGCTGGAAGGTTCCAAGGACACACAGTGCCACATTTAGGAGGGTCCCAGGATAGTGGGCACCGTGGGAGGGGCCGGGGCTCCAAGGACACACAGTGCCCACAGTCGAGTCCTAAAGACAGGATATCACCCGTTCCTCCAGTTCACCAAGACATGCGAGGAAGGCCCCAAGACAACTAAGGTTAGAGCACAGCGAGGACGTGAGTCAGGCCTGCAAGGACCAGGCAGGACCTGAGGAGGGAGACGCTGTGAGCACAGGAGTCCGCAATGCTGCAGCTTCCAATGGGAGCGCTGTGGCCATGAGCTGCTCTGCTAGGCTGAGTCCTCATACCATGTCCTGATGCTTGGCAGACATGGCCCAGCAGAGCGATGGTAAGAAGAGACCCATTGTGAGGTGTGATGACGCTGGACAGCCCACAGCCCCAGCCGCGCATAGGGCCCCTCACCTCGGATGATCTCGCGGATGTGTGTCTGCACAGGGCCCCTCTCCAGATTCTGCACCACTGCGTTGGCGATGCGAGTGAGGTGGCCCATGTTCCCACGCCGCATGCCACCTGCCGCCCTGAAAGGGACAGGGGCCATCAGGGTGGCTACCCAGCCCCAGGCTTCCTTGACATGTTTCCAGAGGACCAGGTATGAGCTCCTGAAGCTCGTCTCTGCTGGCGAGTGCAGGCCTCTCCTCTTTTGGGGGCCCCTAGGTTAATCTCCAGTGCAATTCCTGGTACAACTCAAGTTATTGGCCAGTAACTGCTGTACACAACAGTTTACCCAACTCACCACCAAGAACACTAAGATGGCTGTCCATGTTAGGGATAGGAAGCAGGCAGAAAGGCTCAAGTCTCATTAGAGGCAGCAGTGGAACAGGAGCAGAGCCAGGTCTGCTGGCTGTGGTGCCTGCCCTAGCACAGTATTCCCAGGACCTGGCCCCCGCTGAGACCGGATATAGCCTCCGTGCTGCGTGGCTGGCATCGCTTTCCCCTCCCTCTCACAACGAGGCCCCAGGAGCCCCTCCTCACACCCAGATCCCACCCTTCCCAGAAGGACAGAGGATGGCAGTGAACAACATGCAGAACATGTTTGCTGACCTGAGGGAAGACTTGGTCAAGTCCAAAACACAAAAAGACGAAAATAAAAATGGTTTCCTTTGAACAAGTCCCAACAGAGTATCCTCAAAGATTTAGGGAAAGTTAAACATGGCAGTGGTTGCTAGGGGCATGGTTCACATGGTAGAGCATCTACCTAATAAGCAAAGGCCCTGAGTTTAAATACTAGTACCACTAAAAAAATAAAAGTCACTGGACACTAGTGGCTTGTATCTGTAGTCCTAGCTACTTAGGAGCCTCATATTTGAGGATTATAGTTCAAAGACAGTCCAGCAGAAAAGCCTTAAGATCTTATCCACAATTAGCCAGTAAAAGGCCAGAAATGGAAGTGTAGCTCAAATTGTAGAGGACCAGCCATGAGTAAAAAAAACAAGCAATAGCATGAGGTCCTGAGTTTGAGCTCTAGTACCAACACACACACACACACAGACACACACAGACACACACAGACACACACAGACACACACACACACACACACACACACACACACACACACACACACGCAGTGGCCAGCACTTGGGAGGGCTGAGGCAGGAAGAGTAGAAATTTGAGCCAAGGATACCTGATGAATTCCAGGCCAGCCTGTCCTAAAGCCAAAACCCTGTCTTAAAGAATGATCATGACAGGCACTGGTGGCTCACGCCTGTAATCCTAGCTGCTCAGGAGGCTGAGATCTGAGGATCGCGGTTCAAAGCCAGCCTGGGTAGGAAAGTCCATGAGACTCTTATCTCTATTAAACCACTAGAAAACTGGAAGTGGTGCTGTGGCTAAAGTGGTAGAGCGCTCGTCTTGTGCAAGGACAGCACCCAAGCCCAGAGTTCAAGCCCCATAACCGACAAAAAAAAAGAAGAGGAGCCAGCGTGGGTGGCTCACGCCTGTAATCCTAGCTACCCAGGAGGCTGAGATTTGAGGATCGCGGTTCAAAGCCAGCCAGGGTAGGAAAGTGCTTGAGACTCTTATCTCCAATAAATCACTAGAAAACCGGAAGTAGCACTGTGGCTCAAGTGGCAGAATGCTCAACTTGAGCTGAAGAGCTCAGGGACAGTACCCAAGCCCAGAGTTCAAGTCCCATGACCGACAAAAAAAAAAATAAAATAAAAATAGAGGAGTCAGGAGAAGGCTAGACAGAGACTTCTAGACTGGATGCCTAGAGAGGAAATGGCTACTCATTGGGTAACTGTTCAGGCCTGGCCAACACTCAACATGACCCTCGTGTCACCTCTACTCCCTTTCCTGGGCAGCACTTACAGCTGTTTGCCCAATAGTAAGATCCATCTAGGATGGCTGCAGGCACACAGCCAGGCCACATACCCGGATGCCCTATACTGAGCCCGAGTCCTTCATACAGTGTTGCAGACTGGTGCCATGTGTTCTACCACTGCTAGGAGGAAAGTCTTTGTGTTTCTTACTGTGTGTGGTCATTGGCTTCCCAGGCCTCCAGGATCCTCTGTACCAGGCAGCACTTCTGGAACAGCTAGGGAGTGGGGAGAGGCAGTGTGATTCAGAGCCTACAGAGCTATTCCCGCCCCTTCCGCCACCCCACTGCAGGTAGAAGCCAATCCACCAGCACTGACAGCCGTGGGACTGTATGTAACACCCTCACAGCCCCAACCTCTGTGACGCCCAGTAAACATCAGAGATAGACACTGCCTAAGAACCTCAGAATCTCACGCTGAGAGCCCTGAGGGAAGACTAGGACGCTCCGTGTGTCTCTGGAACCCTGAATGTCCCGTCTGCTCTCCAAGGGTGTCCTCCACCTCACCTTCAGGCCACTCTCCCCCCTGCTTCCGCAGTGACCAGAAGGAATAGCTGGGGCCCTCAGTTTTTTCTTTCTCCTCCAGGCCCTGACACAGGCCATTTCCTGTAACTGGCCCAAACTCATTCCTACGCTCATGATCTGGTGGTCCTCAGTTGGCCTATACAGTCCCTGAATTCCTCCCTACCTACTGTGTGTTTTTCATCATTGAGGCCACACATCTCCTGACTGCATATCCTCTGAAAGACAGGCTATGGACCAGACTCAACCCTTATTGACTAGTGTTAGCCATCTAACAGGCCTGCTTACAGAGGTACGCAGGATGCCAGCTTACAGAGGTACCAGGACACCTACCAAAGGATCAAGACCTTCCAGATCACCCAAGTCCAACTGTCTAGAAGACCTCTGAGAGAGATCCAAGGGCTTCTTCTGAAGCCTCTGTCCTCCAGCCTCATAGCATGGTGCAGGATGTCCTCTGCTGCCCTGGCTCCCATGACCTTCACACATGGGTCTGACCTCAGAGTCCTCATGCTTATGGCCTCAAATTGCTCCCTCCCCTTGTTCCCTGGCAAATACTCCTTAAAGCTGTTCTCTGCCAGAGGCAATGCTAGACGTTGAAGACAAAAAGGCTGAGATGCAGATTCTGACACAGACTCTCATCCCCTGGGAGGAAGAGGCCAGGTGGAAACATAATGGGGTGGTGTCCCACAGCGAGGAAGGTGGGTCGGAAACAGGGCGAGCGCACCTGGCTTCTAGGACTGGCACTGGAGCTTGAACTCAGGGCCTTGTCTTCTCATTTGACTTTTTCATTTTATGGTTGGAGCTCTACTACTTGAGCCATGCCTCCAGTTCTGGCTTTTTGCTGGCTGATTGGAGAACGGTCTCTGGGTTTTGGCTGTGAGATGGCTTAGAACAATGATCCTTGGATTACAGACATGAGCCACTAACTCTCAGTTCCAGAAAGCTTTCTTTTAAGAACTTGACACTTGCATTTTCCGACCACAACAGTGGCCTGAATCTTGGGTCAAAAAGCTGTTCTTCAGCAGGGCACTATCATCCTAGCTACTCAGGAGGCTGAGATCTGAGGATCGTGGTTCAAAGTCAGTCAGGCTGGGCAGGAAAGTCTTAGACTCTTATCTCTAATTAACCACCAGAAGACTGGAAGTGGCACTGTGGCTCAAGTGGTAGACCGCTTGCCTTGAGCTGAAGAGCTCAGGGACAGCGCCCAGGCCCAGAGTTCAAGCCCCATTAAATTTAAAAAAAAAAAAAAGGCTGAACTTGGACACAGTGGGCTGCTCCACAGCACTCCTGAGGGGAGCAGCACCCAGGTGGCTGTCTACTTGGAACTGCAGCACCCATGGCAAGACCACGCAGATGCTCCTCCCCTCTGGCTGCCTTCATCTTCCCTTCTACCAGCAGTAACTGACAGATTTAGGGCCAAGGAGGGTAGCAGCTCCCACCCACATGAGGTGATCGGCCAGCAGCGGCACATCTCCAGTCCCAATGTCTATGAGATCTAGGCACCAGGTGCAGCCGGCAGGAACCAGCAGGGCACTGGCCAGGACTTACGTGAGTCACCATGGGGTTCTCAGGAAGGCTGGCGGTGGGCTCGGGGGTCTCCAGCCTTCCATCCCTGTTGTTCGCACTGCCCTGAGGAGGCTCCACCCTGCTCTCCGCTCCACTGGCTTCTGCCTGCTCCTCCCCAGCAGCGTGGGAGAGAATAGCAGCTACACACAGTTCTACTTGGAGGTGCAAAAAGTTATTCCAGGTGTACTTAAAAAACAAGTCCTGCGTAAACAGAGGGCAGAAGACATTTCTTAGATGGATCTTCTCTTACCAGGTAAAGAGGAGTCACTCTTAAACTTCACATCCTAACTTGCTCATCCAGGCTCTGATGTATTAAGTACCTGAGATTCGTGTCTCCCCATTTTCTGAGGTGCTGCCCTGCCCTTGTTTTCCTGACTGCTGTTTGTGTGTCTACTCACCTCTGTTTTGTTTGTTTTGGGGGGGTTTTTTGGTCATGGAGATTCCACTTGGGGCCTGGGCACTGTCCCTGAGCTCTCCTGCTCAAGGCTAGCACTTTACCACTTTGAGCCACTGTGCCACTCTAGGTTTCTAGTAGTTAATTGGCAGTAAGAGTCTCACAGACTTTCCTGCCCAGGCTGGCTTTGAACCGTGATCCTCAGATATCAGCCACCTAAGTAGCTAGGATTACAGGTGTGAGCCATCAGTGCTCGGCTTTGTGGGTTTATTCCTTTGTCTCTAAGTTAGAAGCTTTATTAATTTTTGGTCTCTTTCTTTTCTAGTATGTTTTTAAAAAGGACTTATAGCCAGACACCAGTGGCTCACACTGTAATCCTAGCTACTCAAGAGGCTGAGATCTGAGGATCATGGTTCAAAGCCAGCCCAGGCAGGAAAGTCCATGAGACTCTTGTCTCCAATTAACCACCAGAAAACCGGAAGTGGTGCTGTGGCTCAAGTGGTACAGTGCTTGCCTTGACTGAACTGAAGAGAGGGACAGCTCCCAGATGCAGAGTTCAAGCCCCACAACTGACAAAAAAAAAAAAAAAAGGCATATATTTCCCTGCAAAATCCACTTTAACTATACTGTATACATTTTGCTGAGGTACTTGATTTTGCTCCTGACTGGTAAATGACTGGAAGTGAGCTGAACTGGGGATGCTACCAGAATGAGCAGCATGCATCTTCTCACTTCAATATGCTCCTCAGGTGCATAGTTACCACTCCCTGAGAAGCTGAAGCCTAGAAGAGGTTATGGAAATCTTGTACTTCCCTTGTGGGACAGACCAGGGGAAGAGGGAGGAGAGACAGCCCCCGAGCCCTCAGCTTGTCCTCTCCTGTAGCTACCATCTCACACAGACCAGGGCTACAGCAGCCTATATCCCAGAACCTCTCCCACCACCACCATGGAGAACAGGTGTATAATGAATAGAGAGATGGGATATCAGTTTTGATTTGGGAATAGGTGTGTTCAGGGCCTAGTTCAGAGCCTGGGTGCCATTTCTTAGCTTTTCTGCTCAAGGCTAGCACTCTACCACTTGAGCCACACATCCACTTCTGGCTTTTTTGCTGGTTAATTAGAGATAAGAGTCTCACAGACTTTCCTGCTGGGAGTGGCTACAAACCATGATCCTCAGAACTCAGCTTCCCACAGAAACTCAGGCCTTAGATCTCAGTATTACCTTTTCTGTCTATACAATCTTGAGCAGTCTTGGAGGTTTGCCCCACTGTGTTACCTCATCTACAACATCTCATCTACTTCTCAAAAAAAAGGCCAGCTGGGCACTGGTAACTCATGCCTGTAACCCTAGCTACTCAAGAGGCTGAGATGTGGAGATCAAGGTTCAATGCTAGCCCAGGCAGTAAAATCTATAAGACTCTTATGTCCAGTTAAACACACAAAAAAAGCTAGAGATGGAGGCATGGCTCAAGTGGTAATATATTAGCCTTGAGCAGAAAAGCTCAGGGACAGCATCCAGGCTCTGTTCAAGCCTCAGAACCAATACAAAAAAAAAAAAAGAAGAAGAAAAAGAAAAAGCCAGAGAAGATGGTTTCAACAAGTATGTAAAGAAGAACTGGTAACAGTCCTTCTCAAACTCTTCCAAAAATTGAAGAGCAGGAAATGAATACTGCCTAACTGGTTCTATTAGGACAATATCACCTTGATACCCAAATCAGTCACAAACACAAGAAAACCACAATGTTCCTTATAAATACGGATACAAAATATTAGCCAACAGAAATAAGTACTGGGCTGGAAAGGCAAGTGCTTGCCTTGCATGCATGAGATCCTGGGTTCTATTCCTCGGGACCACATAAACAGAAAAAACCGAAAGTGGTGCTATGTCTCAAGTGGTAGAGCACTAGCCTTGCTCTGAATAGCTGAGGGACAGCGCCCAGGCCCAGAGTTCAGGCCCATGACAAACAAAAAAAAAAGAAAGAAAGAAAAAAAAAAAGCTCACATTTCCCAATGTATTACAAAACTACAATCTAAACAGTACAGTACTGACTGACATAAGGATAGAGATATAAACTAATGGACTAAAATACAGTGCCCAGAAATAAACCTTCTAGCTTAAAAAAGACTCAGGGACAGTGCCCAAGCCCTGAGTTCAGGCCCCACTGACACACTGACACACACACACACACACACACACAAATGTTTTTAAGGGAGAGAAAGGAAAGTGAGACATTCCTAATACAAACTGAAATTGTGGTTACAGTAGTGCTCAAAATCTTCTGTGGGGCTGGGAAGATGGCTCAGTGGTAGAGCGCTTGCCTTGCATGCATGAGATCCTGGGTTCGATTCCCTCAGCACCACATAAGCAGATAAAGCTGGAAGTGGCGCTGTGGCTCAAGTGGTAGAGCACTAGCCTTGAGCTGAAGAGCTGAGGGACAGCGCCCAGGCCCAGAATTCAGTCCCCAGGACCGGAAAAAAAAAATCCTCTGTGTCAAAAGACTTTCTGAAGTGGGCAGAACTTCTTCCAGGGAAGAAGTCTTTCTGGCACCAAGTTTACAGGGATCTTCCAGCTTCCTATCGGCAGAGCCCAAGGCAAAGGAAGAAGAGACTCATCAGTCTGCCAGAGTGACATTCCTCCTGTCCACTCTCCCAAATCCAAACCAATGGCCATTACCACAGACTCACAGGCCACTGGGCAGCTTCTGCAACCATGGGGCAGAAGCCATAGGGTGACTTTCTTCTATGAAAGATAAGGAGCTTCTATGAGGACATTTTTTTACTTAAGAGGTATGGTGTGTATGTGCTATCTTGTGATGTCAGACATGAGAAAGGAGATGGCAGGCCTATATGCTTGTCTTCTGCTGTCAAGGAAATCCCATGGTAGAAGGCAGCCTTTTGGGAGCCCAAGGATTAGGCTCAGTATGTTCCACTAGATACTTGTCGTTAAACCCTAGGACTTGGGACTAGTACTCTTTTTGCTTGTTAATTGGAGGTTAAGAGTCTCACAATGGGCTGGGTATGTGGCTCAGTAGTAGAGTGCTTGCCTAGCATGCATGAAGCCCTGAGTTTGATTCCTCAGTACCACATAAGCAGAAAAAGCCAGAAGTGGTGCTGTGACTCAAGTGGTAAAGTGCTAGCCTTGAGCAAAAAGAAGCTCAGAGACAGTCCGCAGGCCCTGAATTCAATCCCCAGGACTTGGGGGAAGAAAAGAGTCTCACAAAATGCCAGGAACCAGTGGCTCATGCTTGTAATCCTAGCTACTTAGGAGGCTGAGATCTGAGGACTGTGGTTCAAAGCCAGCCAGGGCAAGAAAGCCCCTGAGATGCTTACCTCCAATTAATCACCAAATAAAGCCAGAAGTGGAACTGTGGCTCAAAGTGGTAGAGTGCTAGCCTTAAGCAAAAAGGTCAGGGACAGCACCCAGGCCTTGATTTCAAGTCCCAGGTCTGGCACAGAAAGGAAAAAGAAATAAAAAGTATCATGAATTTTCCTGCTCAGGCTAGCTTCAAACCTCAGTCCTCAAATCTCAGCCCCCTGAGTAGCTAGGACAACAGGTGTGAGCCACTAGTGCCTAGCTCAGTACTTCTCTTTGACAGGTCCTTTTCCAAGTGCTGAGATCCAGCCACCTGACCCATTGGCCTGCTCTATTTCCCCAGACCTATCTCCATGTCTAGTGGCATATATCAAGCACAGTATACACAGACACACAGGGCTGGCCACAGTGCCACTTACCAGCAGTAAGTCCATGGTATTGAGCCGGCAGAGCTCCTGGTTGATGCTGGGTGTATTCGTGTGTAGCAGTGCAGCCATGAGGCGTGCACCATGCAGTCGGGCATTCCCCAGGGGTTCCTCCAGCACACCAATGGTGGTCAGAATCGCTTCTTTCTGCAAATACAGGCGGCGGCACCCAGTCAGAACCCAGTCAGAATTATGGCCATTGCTGAGACCATGGCCATAATTCTACACGTGGTCCAGCCCAGAGAAGTAAAGTTCATATGTGGTGTTAATCAAGACAAGGATTCCTGCAAGAGGACGTGCAGGAATCTACAGGGTGAGGAACTACCTACTCCCCGCTCAAGGTCACAATGGGTAAGCCAGACCGAGACTCCTAAGAATCCCAGAGACTGTCATCTGAGCCTGTCAAGCTAAAAGGCCAGATACCACGGCATATGACACGTGTCCAAGACAGGACTAGTAGTATCAATCAAAGGTGGCAAGACCCCACCTATGGGCAGAAGTTCTTCACATGATGTCTGACTGTAGATGCCTATGCCTCTGTCTGTAGGTATCTCTCAGTGCTAACAAATACCCAGTCAACACTCCTAGAGAAGACTGGGCTTTCGGGCTGGGAAGGTGCTCAGTGGTAGAGTGCTTGCTTCACATGCATGAGGCCCTGGGTTGGATTCCTCAGCACCACATAAGCAGAAAGGCCAGAAGTGGCACTGTGGCTCAAGTGGTAGAGCGCTAGCCTTGAGCTGAAGAGCTGAGGGACAGCGCCCAGGCCCAGAGTTCAGGTCCCATGACTGACAAAAAATGGAGAAAAAAAAAAAAAAGGACGGCTTTCTAAAAACAATCTTGATGGTAAGTCTTGCCTCCTCAGACTGGATGTGGGCAATCTCTGACCCTTCCCCATGCAGTATAATGTGTTCCCTTGATTAACTCAATATTCTGACAAAACAGAGTCCCTGCCACCATGACATTTACTTCATAGTGGAAAGACAAATAATAAGTTGCTGAGTAGGGTAGATTCACCAGGGAAAGGGAGGACAAGGAGCCCCGGTCAGACAGTGGCACAATGTAAGCAATCCCCAGAGCTATGGGAGTCACCCCCGCCCTCCCAGAGCTAAGCAGCCCTCCACTACACGCCTTTGACTTGAAGGTCAGAAAATAGTAAACACAGCTGTGGAGGCTACAAAGTATCCTTCTCCCAGGTCTCTCCTATGGAGGCAAATAAGGACATTCCTAGATGGGAATTTTCTAGAAAGCATATGTTTTGGCATCTGCCCAGTGGTTCACAAGTAGGGGTCTGGGAAGAGCAGTAGCAGAGCATTCTCTACATACTGCCTTGTTATGGATCAATGGTAAGATCCCCTCCTCGCATATCAACCCTAGATTCTAAACTATCACCAAAACCTCAGACAGCCACGTATGGCTATTTACCTTTGGTGGGTTGAGCAGGAGCTGGTGAAAGTCCTTCAGCCATGGCTCAATGCCATGGAGAACACTGCTGCTGACGACATACGACCTTTCCAGTCCCTGAGGAAAGGAGTCCACCAAGCCCTCTGTCCTGTGGATGAGGACAGCACACGGAGCCTTGATGGACACACCACTCTCTCTGCACCTCTCACCCACCCAGCCACACCCAACTCAGCATCTTCAAAAAGCAGTCTGTGTTCTTTGTTAAAATGAAATCTTGGGAGCACACTATTCAAGATGCCCACACATGACCTTGTGGGTAGAGATAACAAGAGCACCAAGTGGCAGCAAAGGGAGAGGACACACACTCGCTGCCTCTGTCCCCTTGGCTCCTTCCTCAACCGAGCCCTCCCCCTCTTCTTGCTTTGACAGTATTTACTGTTGCTCCCCTCCTTGGATGAGAGTTAGGAGATAGACTGACCATATGGTTTCTCTCCTTTTTCAAGCAAATTTCTCTGAGATATCTATCCAAATACCTTTTCCAGTAACAAAGGTATCACAAGATAGCCAACGAAAAAAATCCTAAGCCAGGTGCCAGTGGCTCACACGTGTAATCCTAGCTACTCAGGAGGCTGAGATCTGAGGATCAAAGCCAGCCTGGGCAGGAAAAGTCCATGAGACTCTTATCTCCGATAAACCACTAGAAAACCAGAAGTGGTGCTGTGGCTCACGTAGTAGAGTGCTAGTCTGAGCTGAAGAATGCAGGGACAGCACCCAGGCCCAGAGTTCAAGACCCACGATCACTACCACCACCACCAAAAAAGGGCTGGGAAGGTGGCTCAGTGGTAGAGTGCTTGTCTTGCATGCATGAGGCCTTGGGTTCGATTCCTTGGCACCACATAAGCAGAAAAAGCCAGAAGTGGTGTTGTGGCTCAAGTGGTGAAGTGCTAGCCTTGAGCTGAAGAGCTGAGGGGCAGTGCCCAGGCCCAGAGTTCAGGCCCCACAACTGGCAAAAACAAAAAACAACAAACAAAAAAAAACCCTAAATACATAAAAGGATAAAAAGAGCAAAGGGAACAGCTGGCTTATCTGTCATTAATTTTTACACTGGACTAGAACTGGCCCTCAGAAGTGGCCCAGGCTTCCTGGATTTGTGAAAATAAGTCAATATTCTAGTTGCATAAGTAGAGAAAAACATTATTTTAGGTAATAAAGTAATAATGATATATTGGGTAGTTACAGAGACAGAGAGAGTTTTCAAATAATCTTACTATCAAGATTAAGTAATTTGTCATTCTCTTGTTCACTCTTCCAAAACAAAAACAAAGGGCTGGGAAGGTGGCTCAGTGGTAGAGCGCTTGCCTTGCATGCCTGAGGCCCTGGGTTCGATTCCTCAGCACCACATAAGAAAAAAGCCGGAAGTGGCACTGTGGCTCAAGTGGTAGAGTGCTAGCCTTGAGCTGAAGAGCTGAGGGACAGCGCCCAGGCCCAGAGTTCAGGCCCCATGACCGGACCAAAAAAACAAAACAAAACAAAAACAAACGCCAGTTGAGCATTGGTGTTCACACCTGCAATACAGCTTAGCTACTCAGGAGGCTGAGATCTGAAGACTGTGGTTCAAAAAGCCAGCCCTGGCAGGAAATTCTGTGAGACTCTAATCTCCAATTAACCAACAAAAAGCCAGAGTGGAAATAAAAGAACTGCTGTCCTCTTGGGAGAGTCTGACTGTTACCCAGAATGTGGTGGAAAAGAGCAGAGGGAGATGTCCTGAAAATAGCCCACCTGCTTCCAGGAAGCCAATCCCACTGATACACTCCAGGGACCAGGGGGAAGGCTGAGAGGGGTCGGTGCCTGGGAATAGCAATGCTCTTCTCTGCTACCTCCTTTGATCATGCTCTATTTGGGATCCATGAGCTCAGCACTGACTCCTCATACTCTGCCATCTTTTGTCGGTATATGTGCTTCACAAAGTGTTTGGATCATCTCATTTGCCAAAGTGGCTGTGTTGTACAGCATGCCAGGATCTGAGGGCTATCCTTGGCCCTGTATACTCCAGATTTCCAAGTACAACTAGAAATTTGTACCTGGATCTTAGAAAGTTTTCACGCATCTGCTTTCACCCAAACTCTTGTCTTGGCTGGGAACTGGCACCCCCTGCCCTTGATTTAATAGGCTTTTAACAGCTACATCTAAGGACTGTGGTATGGTGACCTGGGTCACATCAGAAGGCTTCCAAATAAGATCTATCCTTTCCACCCCTACACTGGCCTCTCCTGTGCTCACAGTGGGAGCCCCATGTTGTTATGGATTCTGTGGTACTCTCAGGGAAAATTGGCTGGTAAGGCTCCATTTACCAGCCCCATGCAGATTCTCCTCATGGCATGAGGTACTCATCTATTGTACTTTCTACATCACATCACACCTATGTACATGCTGACTTCCTGGGCCAGATAGGTAACAATGGAGAAGGAAGGACCATGATTCAGCTAGCAACATTGCAGGTATTCAAATAATAACCGATGAATGAGAAAGAGTGGAAGACAGCCCACTAAAACAAAGTGCCTGAATTAACACTCAGCAGACAGATTAGCATGTATGTTCATGGAGCTTAAGAGATAAATATGAAGCAGGGCACCAATGGCTCATGCTTGTAATCCCAGCGATTCAGGAGGCCGAGATCTGAAGATACCAGTTTGAAGCCAGCCCAGGCAGGAATGTCCTTGAAACTCTATCTTATAACCACTAAAAAGCTGAAGGTAGAGCTGTGACTCATGTGGTAGAATGAACCTGGAGCAAAAAAGATCAGGGATAGCACCCAGACCCTGAGTTCAAGCTCCAGGACCAGCAAGAAAGAGAGACAGTATTCTTCCTGTCCTGGCATAGGAAACAAATATGTAAAGTAAGTAACTACTTGTCAGAGTAGAAGCCCTGCCATCAGTTACATATGAGTATATGCCCATGTGCACATGTGCACATGAACTATGGGGACCTGCCGGACGAGTCTTGGGAAAAGCCACACCTAGTCTGTACCTGTCTGTAAATGTACAGCAAACTGGTAGCAGTGGGTTCCTTCAGGTGGGGTAGAACTATGCCTGACAGTGCAGACCAAAGAGGACTTGGCCAAAGTCATACACTTGACCTTTTTAGCCAAGGACATCTATCCAGGGGAAGGCTCACCCAGCCCGCCGTGGCTCCAGCAGGGCAAGCAGCACCTGTGTCCCGCTGACTAGGCAACTCTCCGTCTGGTCTTTGTCAAACATGTTCTTCAGAAGCTGCTCCACACAGTCCTGTCTGTTGGGCACATGAAGCAGGTCACAGCCTTGGAGAACAGATACACAGAGAGGACACAAGGATACCCTCTTCCCCAGAAGACCCTGAAACATCGAGGCAGGAAGTGCTTCACTCCAGCCTCATTCAGCCTCAATGCCAGGTGCCCAGTGCTCATACACATTCTGGTCCACTGGCCCCAGCTCCCTGAATCACCAGGGAACTTCCCCTAGAGACCCTTTTCTGGGCTTTGAACTTGGGAGCTTGTCAGGCTGAATCAGAGGCAGTGGTGGCATCTCCTATGTTCAAAGCAGGGCTCCAAGATGTTCTATGACTTAGAGTGAGGCCTACTATACTGTGGCCCACCAGCACTCACGACTCCAGGGCTGTGAGGAGAGGGTCCGGCTCCACAGTCTCTTGCAGCTGACTACCCTGGTCTCTTCCCAGCCTCACAATGTCACAGAGCGCCTGAGAAGCATTGGACTGCCTCTGGAAGGACAGAGAAATAGACCCCAATAGCAGAGGCAGCCTCTGGCAAGCCTCCACTCACTCTGCTGATAGATGAGGACTCACTCTGAACCGTTGTTTTTTTGTTTTTGTTTTTTGGGTCCGGTCGTGGGGCCTGAACTCTGGGCCTGGGCACAGTCCCTCAGCTCTTCAGCTCAAGGCTAGCCCTCTACCACTTGAGTCACAGCATCACTTCTGGCTTTTTTCTTTTTGCTTATGTGTTGCTGAGGAATCGAACCCAGGGCCTCAGGCATGCAAGGCAAGTGCTCTACCACTGAGCCACCTTCCCAGCCCCATCTGAACCGATTTTTGACAGAGCTCCAGACCAACAGGTTCATTTCAAAGCAGCCTTTATCTGTTCCATCCACTGTCAACATGCACATCTGTTTTAATTTTTCTTAAGCTGTATGGTACCATCCTCAAAAATTCAAATTTGGGCCCCAAATGTATTTTAATTAGTGTTCTACAGCTTTGATCTATGTTTTAAGATACACTGATGATGTGACTATGTTATTGGTTTTATATTTTAAATTTAATGATAATGGTGCTGCTGGCTCACATCTGTAATCCTAGCTACTCAGGAGGCTAAGCTCTGAGGATCATGGGTTCAAAGCCTCAAAGCCAACCTGGTCAGGAAAGTCCGTGAGACCCTTATCTCCAACAAACCACCAGAAAACCGGAAGTGGTGCTGTGGTTCAAGTGGTAGAGCACTTGCCTTGAGCTGAAGAGCTCAGGGACAGCGCCCAAGCCCAGAGTTCAAGCCCCATGACCACCCTCCTCCACCCCCCGGCAAAAAAAAATTAATGTAATGGTAATATTTAGAATGAGTCCTGTCAGCTAAGGAAAACAAGGAAGCTGCTACATAAAAAATAGAAAAATGGGTGAAAAAGTGCAGCAGTGGTGCTCACTGGACTGTGTTCAAAGTGAACTATACAGCTCGTGGGTGGAATGAGAGGGAGAATCTAGGAGAGAAGAAGAAGGGATGATACTGTACAAAAGGAAATCCACTTATTATCTGACTTACATAACTGTAATCCCTCTGTACTCACTTTTGTAATAACAATAAATTAAAAAAATAGAACTCAGGGCTGGGAAGGTGGCTCAGTGATAGAGTGCTTGCCTCGCACTCATGAGGCCCTGAGTTCGATTCCTCAGCACCACATACACAGAAAAAGCCAGAAGTGGTGGTGTAGCTCAAGTGGTAGAGCACTAGCCTTGAGCTGAAGAGCTGAGGGACAATGCCCAGGCCCAGAGTTTGGGCCTCATGACTGAATAAAACTCAGCTGGTCACTGGTGGCTCAAACCTGTAATCTTAGCTACTCAGGAGACTGGGATCTGAGGAAGATCACAGTTCAAAGCCAGCCCCAGTAAGAAAGACTGTGAGACTCTTCAATTAATCACCAGAAAATTAGAGCTGTGGCTCAAAGTGATAGAGTACATTAGCCTTGAGCAAAAATGCCAAAGGAGAGTGCCCAGGCCCTGAGTTCAAGCCCACAACTGACAAAAAAAAAAAAAAAAAAAAGAATTCAACTTTCCTAGGGCAACATGAATACTGTTACTACACTGATTCAAAGGTGTACTTGCCAACAACCCAGGAGGTGCTCAGAGGAGACAGATGAGCATGAATAAGAAAGTGATACAGCCTGATCTTCTATAGTACTGCACGCATAGAGTAGGAAGACTAAGGTCCAAGAAGTACCTGTAAGTCTACTTCAGTTCACTCTGCTCACCTTACAATGTGCCCTTTGACCCACTGAGGGGGCCACATGGCAGAGCTGAAGGCAGCCCAGGCTACTAGCCCTGAGGAACTGAATGCTGCCAAGCCATTGTGACCATGGAAATAGACCATCCCTGAATTGACCCAATATGACTGTAGTCATAGACTAGAGAACTGATACTGCTAGAGATGAAAAATACTTGTCATAGGCATCTCAGATGCAAGATGATTTTTTTGTTGTTGTTGTTGGTCTTGGGGCTTGAACTCTGGGCTTGGGCGCTATCCCTCAGCTCTTCAGCTCAAGGCGAGCATTCTACCGCTTGAGCCACAGTGCCACTTCCAGCTTTCTAGTGGTTTATTGGAAATAAGAGTCTCACAGACTTTCCTTGCCCAGACTGGCTTTGAACCGTGATCCTCAGATCTCAGCCTCCTCAGTGGCTAGGATTACAGGCATGAGGCACCGGCGCCCGGCTTTCAAGATGATTTTGCTATTAACACAATTCTGTTATAATTACCACAACCTCTATTAGAAAATAAAAGCAGCCAGGTTGGCTCTATGTGGCTCTATGGCCTCCGCCAGTATTTAGGACTTAAGACTGGTGAATCAGCCCAGCTATTCACACTGTGAGTAGGCTCTACCTCGTGGACAGGGTAGCTTTCCATGCTTATTTATGGATGTATACAAGTATAGCCTCTTCTATTAAGCCCACAGGGGATAAAGCAGAGTGGCTAGGCAGTAGTGAAGCTCTTTTAGACATGAGTCAAAACCACTGTTTTCAAAACTGCTGAGTACAGTGTATGTTTGTATCAATATTTGCAATGTATGAAATAAAATTCTATCAGGCTATAACCCAAACACTCAACAGTGATTGCTGCAGGGAGCAGGGAGCAGTGGCTAAAAGGGAGCCCTTTGGTCATCTGTGATTTTTATTGACTGAACTCTGGGCCTGGGCACTGTCCCTGGGCTCCTTTGGCTCAAGGCTAGCACTCTACCACTTGAGCTACAGTGCTACTTCCAGCCTTTTCTGTGATTAATTGGAGATAAGAGTCTCACTGACTCTCCTGCCAGGGCTGGCTCTGAACCACGATCCTCAGATCTCAGGCATGAGCCAATGGTGCTCAGCTTCATCTGTAATGTAATATGTACATTTTGGCTGTCATTAACAGTTCTGGGCTCATGATTGTGATCTACGTTAATAATGAGGCATAAGACCTTCCTCATTCCAGAGGTCCTATTCTGTAACCTAGGAAGAGGTAATACTGCACAGAGAAGCCAAGGAACATCTGAACAGACAAGTCTTGCTGGGTTTCCTGGACTGGGTTCATGGAGCTTTTGAAGAGCAGAGCTGGAGGGTGACACAATGGTGAAAGCATGGAGGCTCTTCACTCCACTCACACCTTCTTCTATGTACCTTCTCATCTATATTCTTTGTAATATCCTTCGTAACAAACTAGCAAATGTAATTAAGTGTTTCCCTGAGTTCTATGAGCCACTCAAGCAAATTCACTGAATCTATGTGTCAGAGTATAGAAAACACAATTTACAGTGAGTGGGTCAGTCAGAAGCATAGTTAAGATAACTCAGGGCTTGTGATAGACATTATAAAGGCTAAGGGGGCAAACTTGGAGCCTGCGCCCTCAAGCTGTAGAGGCTGACCTAAAATTCAGAAGAACTCAACTAGTGACTATCCAGCTGGTATCTGCTGAGAACTGATTGTTTGGTGTGTGGGGAACCTTTGGTACTTGGCATGTGATGTGAGAGTTCAGCAGGAAAGAGATATTGAGTGAGTGTTAGTTTTTACTCCTGTATCTGTAGATCACCCTATGTGCATTTAGGGAAACTTTCTAGTAGGCCTCCATGCATCACCTCCTTGAATGTGAGCTGTATCTGACCACTTGTTTAAAGTGAGGGGTGCGGGTGGGAAGGTAGCTCAGCGGTAGAGTGCATGCCTTGCAAGCATGAGGCCCTGGGTTCGATTCCTCAGCACCACATAAACAGAAAAAGCCAGAAGTGGCGCTGTGGCTCCAGTGGTAGAGCACTAGCCTTGAGCTGAAGAGCTGAGGGACAGCGCCCAGACCCAGAGTTCAGGCCCCATGACCGGAAAAAAAATAAATAAATAAAAATAAAAAATAAATAAATAAAGTGAGGGGTGCTACTTCTGAGATGAGTTTACAGAAATTTGGTAGGTTCAGGGAATTCTGATTTGGGGTGGTTTCTTTTGTTTTTTTGTTTGTAGGGCTTGAACTCAGGACCTAGGCACTGTCCCTGAGCTCTTTTGCTCAAGGCTAATGGCTCTACCACTTCAAGCCAGGACTCCATTTCTGGTTTTCTTTTTTTTAGGTCCGGTTGTGGAGCCTGAACTCTTGGCCTGGGCGCTGTCCCTCAGCTCTTCAGCTCAAGGCTAGCCCTCTACCCTTTGAGCCACAGTGCCACTTCCGGCTTTTTTCGTTTTGCTTATGTGGTGCTGAGCAATCGAACCCAGGGCCTCTGGCATGCAAGGCAAGCACTCTACCACTGAGCCACCTTCCCAGCCCCCATTTCTGGTTTTCTGGTGGTTAATTGGAGCTAGGAGTCTGATGGACTTTCCTGCCTGGCCTGGCTTTAAACTGCAATCCTCAAATCTCTTTTTTTTTTTTTTTTTTTTTTGCCAGTCGTGGGACCTGAACTCTGGGCCTGTGCACTGTCCCTCAGCTCTTCAGCTCAAGGCTAGCGCTCTACCACTTGAGCCACAGTGCCACTTCTGGCTTTTCCTGCTTATGTGGTACTCAGGAATCTAACCCAGGGCCTCATGCATGCAAGGCAAGCGCTCTACCACTGAGCCACCTTCCCAGCCCCTCAAATCTCATTTTGAGTAGCTAGGATTGCAGGAGTGAGCCACCAACACCCAGCTTGAGGTGATTTCTTATTTAGCTAAAGATAACTAACACAATTCTGACAATTATTTTTATTATATATATTAATTTTTAGAAAACAAAAATGGTGGGCTGGGAAGGTGGCTCAGTGGTAGAGCGCTTGCCTTGCATGCATGAGGCCCTGGGTTCGATTCCTCAGCACCACATAAGCAAAAAGAAAAAAGCCGGAAGTGGTGCTGTGGCTCAAGTGGTAGAGTGCTAGCCTTGAGCTGAAGAGCTGAGGGACAGCGCCCAGGCCCAGAGTTCAGGCCCCACAACCAGATCCCCGCCCCCCCCCCCCCAAAAAAAAAGAAAACCAAAATGGCCTAGACATCAGCACTTAAAGGGTCCTTATTGTGATTTGCCCCCCCTTTGAACAGCAGCAGTGAGTACTCCAACAGCCCAGGAATGGGGGTTTATTTTATGAAAGAAAATGAGCTCTGTGCCGGTGGCTCACGCCTGTAATCCTAGCTACTCAAGAGGCTGAGATCTGAGGATCTTGGTTCAAAGCCAGCCTGGGCAGGAAAGTCCGTGAGACTCTTATCTCCAATAAACCACTAGAAAACCAGAAGTGGCACTATGGCTCAAGCGGTAGAGTGCTCGCCTTGAGCTGAAGAGCGCAGGGATAGCGCTCAAGCCCCACGACCGACAAAAAAAAAGAAAGAAAGAAAAGAAAAGAAAATGAGCTCTGTGAGCATTACACTCACATCTTCATCTTGATTGGGATGAATCAATTCCACAAGTCGCTGGATAATTTTCTCTTCATTCAGCCACTGAAAGGGAAGAAAAGACCATCAATATTTTTGTTCATATCTAACTAAATGGAAGGAAAAGTCTGTCCATGCAGCATACACCCCACACCAGGTTTCCTTCGATAAAGAATACATCTTCTTACACACAACTGTCCGAGTCTACCCAGATGCAGAAAGAGTCCACAGGATTCAATTACTGAACTCTGGTAGTGGCTCAAAGAGTTCAAATGAGTGGACCATCTGTCCCAACAGTAGTATGTATTTATACACATATTCACGTATGTATGTATATGTATATATAGTCTGTTTTAGGACACTTTTCTGAAGACTAGAGTACAGATAAGCTGGAACAAGCTGGAGTTTGGGAGCCCCAATATATGTGAAAGCTAGGTAACCCTTGGCTCTTGGCAGCATCAGAAAGAGCAGAAGGACCCCAGTATGACCACAGAATTGCTTTTGAGGGATAAAGCAGGTATTTTCCAAGGTCAAAGGCAAAGAGTGCTAGTATCTGAGCATGGAAGAGCTACACACTGGCTCATCTAGTAACTTTGCTGCCCTGTGCCTAATGAAGTTTCTTTATATTCTGAGTGAGTCACATGCTTCTTAAGTAGAGACATATCCTTCCCACAGATTCTCTAGTAGCAGTGACTAAGCATGCTGTTCTCACTGTGAAAACATTAGCTTCATAAGGAAAGTAATAACAACTTAAGAGGCAGAATGACCACCTTTTTAAAATAAAATTTGAGACAAGGTCTCATATGTAGCCTAAGCTGGTCTGGAACTTAACAATACTCCCGGATTCTGCCTTATGAGCACTGGGACTATAGGCATGTTTCACCAGACTTATCTTGATTATATTTGAGTGCCAAAGAGAGAAAATAGGTAAAAGTCAATGGTTTACTTCAAAAAGCCTAAAAACAATCTAAGCCCTGGGGTGGGAACCCTGGGTTACAAGCCTGCTCTTTTTGCTGCCTGACCAGTAGGACAGACACAACTATACTCCAGAACAAGCAACAGGCCCCTACACAGACCATCATGCTTTTCTCACAGCAGCACCTGAGTCTAAAGCCCACTCTTCACCAAGCACCTGCTCTAAGGCTCTAAGCATCTGCTAGAAGCAGGTACCTTGAGGGAAAAGGGCAGGAATTAAGGAAAGCTCACTCTTACTTTTGTACAGAACAGGATGCCAGAGTACTGGGGGGAAAATATCTGTACTTGGTGCTTCTGAATGTGCAGACAAGAACCTTGACTGCTGACTGGCTAGGTGAAGACCTAGCCAGTTATGCTGATGTCCTGGGCACTCACATGAAGGACCTCCTGCCGGAGCCCAGTTGGCTCCACACAGCTGACCAGGCGCAGCAGCAGGTCCATGAGAGCTGAGGTACCCATGTGCTTCAGCACCAAGCTGATGAACTTGTCCTTCTTCTTCAGGAATATAATTACCTGAAATTAAATATACAAGATGAGCAAGAAAGGCTGACTTCTGACAACCAAGGAACACTTCTAGAACTCATATGAGAAGCTGAGTGCTAGGGCTCTTACCAGTAATCCTAGCTACTAAGGAGGGTGAGATCTGAGGATTGCACTATGGAACCTGCCTATGCAGGAAAGTCCATGAGACTTTTATCTTCAATTAACCAACAAAATGCTGGAAGTGGAGCTGTAGCTCAAGTTGTACAAATCAGCATTCAGTGAAAAGAAGCTAAAGGACAGTGCCCAGGCCCTGAGTTCAAGCCCCAGTACCAACACACACACACACACACACACACACACACACACACACACACACACACACACTTGCACATACAGTAAATCAGGACTGATTTGTATGGTGTGGTAATACACATCTGTAATCCCAGCACTCAGAAGGCTGAGGAAGGAGGATCATTAATTAGTTCATGCCAGGCCATCCTGGACTATATAGTAAGCCCCATTCTCAAAACCCCAAAACAAAACAGATACATCAGGACTGAAATAAGGGACAGAAAATATAAAAACAGATATAAAACTATACTGAAGAGTTAATATGAACAGCTTAATGCCTATTTGTAGAAATTTAGAAAAATAATTTTCTTGAAAAAAAAAGCTTAATTGACAAGAAGAAAAGCTGAGTCATTCCAGAAGATCAGAAGAAATGGAATGTGTGACTACAGCTACACAGAGATCTCCAGGCCTTAATGATCTTGCCAGAAAATTCTACTAAACATAGGAAAAGAATGCTATCTTAGCTGGGCACTGGTGGCTCATGCCTGTAATCCTAGCTATGCAGGAAGCTGAGATCTGAAGACCGAGATTGAAAGACAGCTAAGGTGGGAATGTCTGTAAGACTCATCTCCAATTAACCACCAGAAAACTGGAATCGACGCTGTTGTTCAAGTGGTAGAGTGCTAGCCTTGAGCTGAAGAGTGGAGGGATCAGCACCCAGGCCTAGAGTTCAAGCCCCACAACTATTACCACCAACAAAAAGAATCCTATTTTTTTTCTTAGATTACACGTTACATAGACTACATTTCCACATGTTTATAATGTATTCCAACAAGAAACCTATCATATACAGATTCTTGCAGAGACAAGAAATAAGGGAATATATCCCATATAGCCATGTAAGGACAAAAAAAAATCTTGATTCTACAGCCTGACAGTGTATATAAGAAAGGAAAATCACAAACCAGGCACTGGTAGCTCATGCTATAAAGGAAGATAATATCTAAGGACAGAAGTTTGAAGTCAGCCTGGAAAAAAAGTCTGGAGAATCTAATTGTTCTTTTTTGATGGTTAATTAACAGAAAAAAGCTGGCTTGAAGGCACAGCACAAGTGGTAGACCAGCAGCTCTAAGTAAAAAAGAACATGAAGCCCTGAGTCCAAGCCTTGGTTACTAACACAGAAAGAAGGGAAGGAGGGAGAGAGTTGGAAGGAGAGACTCTTAAGCCAGAAGTTGAGCTGTGGCTCAAGTGGTAGAACACTATCCTTCAGCACAAAAGATCAGGGTCAGCACCTAGGCCCTGAGTTCAACACAAAACAGAAAAAAGAAATATCTGAAAGTGACAGGAATATGATCAATCTATAATCAATTATGACACATACATTCAGTCACTGGACTGTGAGGACAAGACACAGGAGGTCTCTATGATGTCCAAGATGACAACACCTCTGCTCCATCAGGAGAAGTACTCACATCCACATTTCTACATTCCACCACCACCAGTGGGGGCAGCATCAGCCTCACTGCACACACATCCACACAAGGACACACAGAGGCTTACACATACACATACACACATATGGAACTTCCTCAAGAAGATTCCTCTGAGCCGGACGCTGGTGGCTCATGCCTGTAATCCTAGTAACTCAAGAGTTCAAGCCCCTTACCGGAAAAAAAAAAAAAAAAGATTCCTCTGAGGATAACTCTTTTTTGTTGTTGTTATTGTTGTCAGTCGTGGGGCTTGACCTGTGGGCCTGGGTGCTTGTCCCTGCGCTCTTCAGCTCAAGGCAAGCTTTCTACGCTTGAGCCAAAGTGCCATTTCCAGTTTTTCTAGTGGTTTTTTGGAGATAAGAGTCTCAAGGACTTTCCTGCCCAGGCTGGCTTTGAACTGCAATCCTCAGATCTCAGCCTACTGAGTAGCTAGGATTATAGGCGTGAGCCACTGGCACCCAGCTCTGAGGATGACTTATCTGACAAAAGATGACATTCTCCAAAATATTCACAACTTGACAACAGAATAAACCTTTCTCTCATGGCTCAATACACAAACAGAAAACATTGGTTTGTTCCCTGAATATTAAATAATTATGACTGATATTTTGGGAATATAATAATATCTAGCAATATTTAAAAAAAAAAAGTCCTGGGGGCTGAGAATGTGGCCTGGTGGTAGAGTGCTTGCCTTGCATGCATGAAGCCATGGGTTCGATTCCTCAGTACCACATAAACAGAAAAAGCTGGAAGTGGAGCTGTGGCTCAAGTGGTAGAGCACTAGCCTTGAGCAAAAGAAGGTCAGGGACAGTGTCCAGGCTGAGTTCAAGTCCCAGGACTGACAAAAAAAAAAAGAAGAAGAAAGAAGGAAGAAGAAGAGGAGGAGGAGGAGGAGGAGGAGGAGGAGGAGGAGGAGCTGGGAAGTTGGCTCAGTGGTAGAATGCTTGCCTTGCATGCATGAGGCCCTGGGTTCGATTCCTCAGCACCACATAAGCAGAAAAAAAAAAAAAAAAAAAAAGCCAGAAGTGGCGCTGTGGCTCAAGTTGTAGAATGCTAGCCTTGAGCTAAAGAACTGAGGGACAACACCCAGGCACAGACCCAGAGTTCAGGCCCCATGACTGAAGAAGAAGAGGAAAAGGAGGAGGAGGAGGAAAAGGAGGAGGAGGAGGAGAAAGATGAAGAAAAGGAGGAAGAAGAGGAAGTCTTTAAGCTGGGTGCTGGTGGCTCTGCCTGTCATTCTAGCTACTCAGGAGGCTAAGATCGGCAGATCATGGTTTGAAGCTAGCCCAGGCAAGAAAGTCCATGAGGCTCTTATGCCCAATAAACTACTCAGAAAAAGCCACAAGTGGCACTGTGGTTCAAGTGGTAGAATGCTTGCCTTGAGCACAAAGAAGCTCAGTGACAGCGCCCAGGTCCAGAGTTCAAGTTCTAGGACTGGAAAAAAAAAAGACTTTATAACTTAGAGAAATACACTAAAATGTTTACAGAAGATATGACCTGATATCTGAGATGTGGCTTGAAATAAGCCAGTAGAGCTGGGCACCAGTGGATCACACCTGTCATCCTAGCTACTCAGGAGGCTGAGATTTGAGGATCGCGGTTCAAAGAAAGCCTGGGCAGAAAAGTTCATGAGACTCTTATCTGTAATGAACTCCTGAGAAGAAAGCCAGAAGTGGTGTTGTGACTCAAGTGGTAGAACACTAGCCTTGAGCACAAAGAGGCTAAGGGATAGTGCCTAGGCCCTGAGTTCAAGTCCCAGGGCCAGCAATAATAATAATAATAATAAACCAGTGAGGGTGAGGGAATGGGTGTGACAGGAAAGAATATGAGCCAAACAGCAGCAGTCACAGGCTACTATGAAGCCTTCACCACTCACATCCAGTGTGGAGGGTTAAAGCCTGTGTCAGGCTACATGTAAAGGAGAAGAAAGCCATGCTACAGCTGAAGGGAAAACTCATTCTCCTGCAAAAGCCTAATACTAGACATTGTTTTGCTTGGAAGCAGTAAGTACTATGAACACACAGAAAAGACATCCTGAGAAAGTGAACATCTACAGTCCTGCCATGAAGTCATGGCCCAGACCTCCCACCTGTGCCTGATCAGTAAGAAGATGAGCTGGCATGGTCTGGGAGTGCGGAAAGTGCTGCTCTTCCATAACTGACCCCCGAAATATCTTAGGTAAGCTACTACTCAAACTCCAATACACATATCAGCCACTCACACTGCTCCACTGTTAAGCAATCAAAATGCCGTCTCCACAGCCTGGTGACAGTTTCACAGTGACAGCTGAGGTTGTCATACATACAACATGATCCACACATTATTACCTGCTCAGTTTTCCTTGCAATGAGATTGCCAATGGTCTTGCTAAAAAAACTGGCAAGTAGAGGGTTGAGTGGCGGCTCTTGGTCCAAGAAGTCATATAGAAGGTTCATTAGGCTTTCATCCCCGCCCAGTCTGTCGCTGATCTGTGGCACATCACAAGTCAGAAGCTCACAGGCTGTGTTTGGGTATCTAAAAAGGCACAGTCCAAGCACTGGAGGTGAAATTAGACTTCTCCACTCTCAGGAAGCTGTTTAAGTAATCTGCCTCTTAGAAAGCAGAACCATGTGATAAAAACAAAGTGCTAAAAAGACCTCAGAGCAGAATGAAGGTGATGTTACTCTGTGACCAATGGATACTTCTGACTACTGGAAACTCAAATGTCTTAATATTCTTTTTATGAGCTCCTTATACCCTATATTCTGATATCCTGCATTTTTCCAACTCTGCTTCTATTCTCTAATCTTTCTATACATCCTGACTTCTCCTCTCCCCAAGCCTTTATAGTCAATTCCTAGGTCTCTCCTGTCAACCCACATCACCTCAGTGAAGCCAGGTCCTGATCATGTTTGTCTTCCCCTTTCAATCAGATCCCTGCCTTTCATATCCCCTCCTCACCATGTCCCTGTCTCTTCATATAAATAAACACCAACCCCAAATGTGCTAGTCTGGAGAAATATCATACCTGCAGTTTACCATATGGTATCAGCTGTGAGGTACTAAGCAAATAGTTTATTATTAAAAAATATTACTATGTGCCAGGTGCTGGTAACTCATGCCTGTAATCCTTGCCACTCAGGAGTTGGAAATCTTAAGTATCATAGTTCAAGGACAGCCTACACAGAAAAGTCTGTAAGACTTTATCTCCAAAGAATAATCAGCAAAAAACATGGCTGGAGGTGGTAGTGTCAACAAGGGAAGCTGAGTAAGCAAGCCAAACAAGTGTGAAGACTGGTATCACACACACACACACACACACACACACACACACACACACACACACAAAGAGTAATATGTGTGAATAATATATTTTCATTTGATGAAAATTGACCACATGCAAAACAATCCTTAGCCTGTAACATGTAATAACATAGTAACATCACTGTGTTCCTTCTTTAGCATCTGGTAGACTTGGAATGAGGAAAGCCATTGCCACAGGACAGGCTTACTTGACAAAAGGCCCAGGATGAGCATCTCTGTCTAATTCTCAGACTGGAGTCCTTGAGGGCTCTGAGCAGCATTGGTAATAGGGCTGGTGTGCTGCCCCTCATTTGGGTCCACAGGGTCCAGCAGACTAGAAACCAGTGGGAGCATTCTGGGTGGCTGTTTTAGACAAGACTGTCTTCTCCTATGCAAGGTCAATTCCCTGACTCTACCTAGGTTCTCTTACCTAACTATGGAGGGAAGGGTCCTGCCACCGTAGGCTTCCATGAAGACATGGAGCTATTCTGAAAACAGCAGAGTAGTGTCTGGCAGCAGCTGCAGCTGCTTGGAGTCAGTGGCTATGTCCTTTCCTCACAAACATAAGGCCAGTGGCTAAATCAAGGTAGTCACTTGGGTTAGCCTGAGCGGAACCTAGTTTTGACTCTGGAGGAAACAGAGTTGGTCAAGCATGGTGACCATCCAGGTATAGGAGGAAAAGAAATAGACAGGTTTCAACTGGCCATAGAGTGGGTGCTCTTCCTCAGCACTCACAAGAGGAGGAGTCCTTTAGAGCTTCAGGGAGGCTGACAGTCACTGAAGCCCAACATCAAGGAGCTAAACAAGTAGGCCTGGGAATGAGAAAGAACTATACTCAAGTGTTCGGGGCCCCTCAGGCTATAGAGGATAGGGAACCTGAGGACAGGGTCCCAAGGTCCAGGCTCCCCTTCACTGGGAATCTCTCTGGCCATCAGTTTCCTCGTCTGTGAAATGAGGTAGCCAGGACCCATCTTATGGGATTAAACAGGTGTTCAGCACAGCCGATGACACCCAGCCGGGGACCCAACAGAACAAGGTATGAGGACCAGGTTGGCAGCACTGCAGGCCATAATGAGGCTCCTCTACCAGATCTCTAAAGAACAGGACATAATGTGCCAGGGGCCAGGAAGCAAAAAACAAGGACAGATCACTCCTCGAAATGCATTCAGAGCCCAGGGGACAAACTGATCTCGTCCACACCGGGAGCCGAGGGCGCGAGAAAACTCAGCTCCTCAGGTTAGGAGTTAGGTAGAAGAACTAAGATTTTCACACATTTTTGCTTATATTTTATAATCAACTATCAATAGGTCCTGCTCTATTAGTGTAAGAGGGGGAAACTGGGAGAAATCGAAGGAAGGGGTCACATTATTCAAAGGAGAACTATATGCCTTACCTGAAGTATGAAATAGTAACCCCTCTGTACATGTTAATAGCAACAATTATATTTAAAAATTTTATACAATAAATAGGAAATAGCTAGGCACTAGTGTTTCACACCTATAATCCCAGCTGCTGAGAAGGGGGAGATCTAGAGGAGTGAGGTTCAAAGGCAGCCCAGGCAGGAAAGTCTGCAAGTTTCCATCCCAATTTGCCAGCAAAATGCCAACTGACAGACACAGAACTAGGCACAGAGAGGGAAGAGCACAAAAATGGGAAAACGTTAAAAATCCTAACCATTGCTGAGGTAATACAATAAGCTAAGTGCACACAGAATAAGAATTAAGTTTTGCTAACATATCCGGGAGCCAGGAGAGATGGTATAGGCCTATAGTCCCAGCATCTGTAGACTAAAACAAAGAGTTCAAGACTTGTCTAGGCAACACAGCAAGACCCCATCTGAGGGGGGAAAAAATCTGAGAATAAGAAAGAAAGTTCTGCTGATACCAGGATTTGAACTCAGGGCTTTACACTCTTGCTTGGCTTTCTTGCTCACAGCTAGCACTCTACCATTTGAGCCAGGCCTCCAGTCCAACAGTTTGCTATTTAAGAGCCTTTTTTTTTTTTTGTCGATCATGGGGCTTGAACTCTGGGCCTGGACATGGTCCCTCAGCTCTTCAGCTCAAGACTAGCCTCTACCACTTGAGCCACAGTGCCACTTCCAGCTTTTTCTGCTTATGTGGTGCTGAGGAATCAAACCCAGGGGCTCATATGTGCAAGGCAAGCACTCTACCACTGAGCCATCTTCTCAGCCCCATAATTTAAGAGTCTTATCGACTTTTCTGCCTGGGCTGGCCTTGAATCATGGTCCTCCAAGTCTTCTAAGTAGCTAGGATTATAAGCAGGAGTCATTGTCACCCAGCTGAAAGACAAGTAGTAAAAATTAAAAACATGAAAGAGGAAAGGTCAACAGTGAGCTAAAAAAGCTTTTTAAAAAATGGCTGGAACCAGGAGTGCTGGAGCTTGTGATCCCCAAATTTGGGAAGGTAAGGCAGGAAGATTGCAAGCTTGAGGCCAGACTGGGTTTACACATACACATACACACACAGACACAGACACACACACACACACACACACACACACACACACACAGTTAAAATGTGATACTAGAAACATCATATGTCAGCTGGGCATCAGTGGCTTACACCTGTAATCCTACCTACTCAAGGTTCAAAGCCATCCAAAGCAGAAAGAAAGAATAGAGGGATAAACATAGGGAAGAAGAAATAAGAAATTTTTCTGAGGTAAGGTCCATGAATTTACAGAACAGATCCATGGAATGGCTAACACAAAAAATGAAACAAAAAAAGATATCTGATGTTGACCTTGGTAAGAATATATAGGTATTCATACCCAACTCTGTTATTGGTTATTGATGTTGTCTACTCTACTTTGATCTGCTTGCTGACTTACATCAGGTTCATCAGAGCCACATGACTTTGTTTATTTGATAGCTTTGTTTCCTCATGGCTTTGTTTATTCTACAGGTTTGAACTTATCTATCTCTCAAGCTCTGACTCTTCAACTCTGCCCACTCACTGACAATGTTCTAGGACCCCTCTCCTGACCCAGAAGATCCAGCTGTACCACAGCTATCATTTTGCTCTAATTTGTCACCAAACTGGGGGACATTTGAGAGAAGGATGAAAGCCGGGTGCCGGTGGCTCACGCCTGTAATCCTAGCTACTCAGGAGGCTGAGATCTGAGGATCATGGTTCAAAGCCAGCCCAAGCAAGAAAGTCCATGAAACTCTTATCTCCAATAAACCACCAGAAAACCAGAAGTGGCGCTGTAGTTCAAGTGGTAGAGCTCTAGCCTTGAGCTGAAGAGCTGAGGGACAGTGCTCAGGCCCAGAGTTCAAGCCCCACGACCGACAAAAAAAAAAAAAAAGAGAGAGAGAGAGAGAGAGAAGGATGAGGGCTATGAAAAATGATGCTGATTGACATCATGACAGCCTCCTTCTATCATTGTTTTATCTCTAAGCCCCTGGCTGCTCTGCAGGCCAGTCCCTGCTCTTCCTTTAACTCTTCCCCCATCAGAAATACCTGGCTGACTACTCCGTGACAGCTTGCCTCAGGCCATCCCATCACCCAGGCCTGCTCTGTTGTCCTCCAAAGGACAACAATCAGCAGAGATTTTCTGTGAAAGGCCAAATAGCAAATTTTTGTCAGCCTTTTTTTTCAACTGGACTCTGTTATCTTATGTCTGAGTGTGGCATCCAACAATAGTCTACTGGCTGATACCAAAAACGTAAATTTCTAGCTGGGAGCCTGTAATCTTAGCTACTCTGGAGGTTGAGATCTGAGGATCAGATCAAGGTCCAAAGCAATACCTAACAGGAATGTCCATGAGACCCTTATCTCCAAATTAACCACCAAAAAAAGCAGAAAGTAGAGCTATGGCTCAAGTGGTAGAGTGCAAAAAAGCTCAGGGACTCAGGACTTAGAACTAGCACACACACATGAAAAAGGTAAATTTCTGACCAGGCACAGTGGTTCACACATACTTGGGAGACAGAGATTAGAAAGGTTGAAATTCAAGGCCAAAGTGGACAAACAATTATTGAGACATCACCTTAATCAATAAGCCAGGCATGGTTATTTATACCTACTATTCTAGCTATACTAGAGGCCATTGGTAGGAGAGTTGTGGTCTAAAGCCAGCCTTAGGCAAAAACATAAGCCCTTACCTGAAAAACAACTAAAGCTACGAAAGGACTGGGGTGTAGTCTAAATGGCAGAACACCTGCCTCGCTGGAGGCCTTGACTTCAAACTCCCATTCTAACAAAAAAAAAAAAAGTAAAATTTATATAATGAACATTTGGAACAAAGTGTTCTTCCTTTTATTTTTTTTCAACCATGTAAAAAGTAAAACATAGGAAGCACAGAACACACCTGTAATTCCAACACGTGAGAGGCTGAGGCAGGGGAAGCATGAGTTTAAGGCCAGCCTAGATTCTAAGTCCTGAGACCTTGTCTCAAGAAAGAAAAAGCAGGGTCATACTTCGCTGACCCTGTTCTAAGACTTCAGCACAGTACACACATACTTCACACTTCCTCATGAGCCCCTAGAACTCCTATCTGTTACTTCACTTGTCCCAGCTATCCCTGGGACACAGAATGCAACACAGCCTCATTATAGAGCCCCCAGGTGGGACTGCCCTTTCCTTTTGCCTCCCAAGGCATTGTCTTGGTTCAACATTCTCTTTATTTTAATGCTCCATTGCGCCTTCTGTCATCTCCTAACACGCTGGCCAAATGCTGAATGTAACATTTTAGGAAAAACTTTGAGAAGGGTCAGTACCACTAATGATGATGACATACTTTCTCCAAGTTGAATACCTCTAAGTGAAGCGTTTCCCAGGACTCAGGAGTCAGACACTGCATATCTTTCCTGCCTAGCTCTTCTTCCAAGCCTTAAGCCAACTTTACTGAGTGTGCAGCCTCACTTTGCAATCTCATGTGCCTTACAATTGCAGGAATAGTCTTTCAATATATTGTCACTCAACACATACCAACTTCATATAAACTCTCTTGTAACTCAGAATGAGAAGACATACCCAAGAGACTGTAAGCTCTAAATCTCATACAAAACAAATCCCACAATGGCTGCCACACTTCTCAGGTTTAAGATCTGAATTGCCATCAGAAAGCCCTGCCCTGGCTATCTCAAACACTGTCCATGGCCTCTCTGAGCCTTGTCCAGTGCTGGCCCCAGTCACAGCCTAGTACATACTTGAAGCGGACCTTCTCTTCCATGTCCAGGGGGGGGTCCTGTGTGATGAGGCTCACCAGCTCTTCCATACACTGCTGCCTGCACAGGAAGTCCAGCAGCTTCTGATTCTGAGCCTTACATTCCTGTAGAATATCATCTTCGTCCATTAACTCTTGCAGTGTCACATGTTCTTTGTCCAGCAGCTTGTCAACATGGGACGTAGTATTCAAGTCAAACTTCCAGAACATGGTGATGGCCACAGAGCTGTAAGAAAGTATCAGAATCACTCACTCACCCTTATCTGCATATCCACCCTCAACCACACCACATCCAAATCCAAGAAGCTCATCCCTATCATAATCACACTGAATTTCTGGGTCTTAGGTGGGGTCTTAGGTGCTCTTCCTCCCCCTCCGCCACCCCTGATCCTGGGGCTTGAACTCTGGGCCTAGGCACTGTCCTTGAGCTGCTTTTGCTCAAGTCTAACACCCTACCACTTGAGCCACAGCACCACTTCCAGCTGTTTTTAGTTTATTAGAGATAAGAGTGTCATGGACTTTCCTGCCTAAGCTTACTTCAAATCATGATCCTCAGATCTCAGCCTCCTGTGAGCCACCACACCACAGTAATTGCTCTTATAAGACTTCTTTAGCCAGGCGCTGGTGGCTCACATCTGTAATCCTAGCTACTCAGGAGATTGAGATCTGAGGATCATAGTTCAAAGCCAGCTGGACAGGAAAGTCTGTGAGACTCTTATCTCCAATAAAAACCACTGGAAAACTGGAAGTGGCGCTGTGGCTGAAGTGGTAGAGCACAGGGACAACGCCCAAGCTCAGAGTTCAAGCCCCATGACTGACAAAAAGAAAAAGAAAAAAGAAAAAAAAAGATAAGGCTCATTTCCCCAGCTGCATGACCCATCTCTACAGGTTTTTACTGACCAACTCACCTTTTGACCTCTTCCCTGCCCCTCCCACAGTGCTAACATGCCTCTGGGGGCTCTCAGCAGCTTCTTGGCTCCATGAAGCCCATATGTGCTGATGTTTCCCACACATGCTGATGTCAACAAATGGGATAAGCCTCCATCTTGAGAAAGAGAAAATCTTATAACACAAACCTACCTCCTGAATAAGCACAAGACATATCTTCCTTGAAGTCTCTTAATCAAACTCAAAAAAGCATTTTCCTTGACCCCGCCCTCTTCTACCACTAGCTACCACCTAGACCCTCAATTTGCTGTCCCCTTACTGAATAACCCTCAGAATTACCCTGAAGCTGCCCCTCCCTCACATACACACCAACTGGGCACAACACCCTGCTCAGATACCTAAGGCTTACCACAGACCAAGCCTTTCCTCTGTCTCTTCAACCCCTCTCCTACCTCTTGCTGCCCACATGTACTAATTTGGGCCACCCCAGTGAGGCACCCTGTCAGTCTGCAAAGCAGTGTAGGAAAGCAAGGTTTACTAATCTAATGCAAACAGAAGGCAGGAAGCTTAGGTATTTGATAAAGCTAAAAATTCATTTTTGAATGATGAATCTTTTCTTTCTTTTTTTTTTTTTTTGGGGTCCGGTCATGGGGCCTGAACTCTGGGCTTGGGAGCTGTCTCTTAGCATTTCAGCTCAAGGTTAGTGCTCTAGCACTTGAGCCACAGCACCCACTTCCAGCTTTTTCTTTTTGCTTATGTGGTGCTGAGGAATAGAACGCAGGGCTTCATGTATGCAAGGCAAGCACTCAACCACTGAGCCACCTTCCCAGTCCCTGATGAATCTTTTCAATGTTACATGAGGTTATTTATAAAAGTATAGTAATAACAGGCAGGATGTATCCTACCTAACATTTTCACTTAAAGAAACAAAAGACTGGGCTGGGAAGTTGGCTCAGTGGTAGAGTGCTTGCCTTGCATGCCTGAGACCCTGGGTTCTCCTCAGCACCAAATAAGCAAAAAGAAAAAAGCCGGAAGTGGCACTGTGGCTCAAGTGGTAGAGCGCTAGCCTTGAGCTGAAGAGCTGAGGGACAGTGCCCAGGCCCAGAGTTCAGGCCCCACAACCGGACCCAAAAAAAAAAAAAAAGAAACAAAAGACTGACTTCGGTATACATAGTTTTGACAGGGCATGGCGGCTCTTGCTTAAAATCCTAACTACTTTGGAGGCAGCTATAACAAGGATCATGGTGGGCTGGGAAGGTGGCTCAGTGGCAGAGTGCTTGCCTTGCATGCATGAGGCCCTGGGTTCAATTCCTCAGCACCACATAAGCAGAAAAAGCTGGAAGTGGCACTGTGGCTCAAGTGGTAGAGCACTAGCCTTGAGCTGAAGAGCTAAGGGACAGCGTCCGGGCCCACAGTTCAGGCCCCAGGTCCAGCAAAAAAAAAAAAAAAAGGATCATGGTTTGACGTCAGCCTAGACAAAATAGTTATTCCAGGCCTATCTCTGTAAACTAGTTGTAGTGGTGTATGTCTGGGATCCCAGCTATACAAGAGGCATAGGTAGAAGGACTGCAGTCTGAGGCTGGACAAAAACAGGAGACTTTACCTGAAAAAGGATTAAAGCACAAAAAGGTAGGGGCACAGCTCAAGTGTAGAGCTCCTCCTGCCTAGCAAATGGAAGATCATGAGTTCAAAGCCTACTACTAAAAAATCCAAAACAAGCAAACCACAAAAAACTTCAGTTTTATCTGTTTGTGAAGGCTGTTATGTTCAAGCAGCCCTGACACAGGAAGACGCCTGTGTCCAGCCTTAGCCCCATGACCTCTGACACAGACATCTTTCTGATCTCTGAAACTAGCATCTTCATTACCTCTTATCTCAGCTTCAAAACTGACATTGACTCCAGACACCCACCATGCACCTAAGCAGCTTTCTACAACATGTCTCCTGGACATGCTTCTGGAACCCAGCTTCACCATAGGACACAAGAACAAGTGATATTTCCCGGCTTGTGCCCTGTGACCCTGCTCCATGCCACCAGGCTGAGCTGCCCTTGCACCCCTAACGCTGGGGTGAGCACTGCTCACACACTTGAGACATGAAGAGCGTAAAGTAGAGCTGCTTTGACCTGCAGGACAAAAGAGTCCATATACTCACTGACTTTGCATTTTGTTTTCTTACTGGGCTCTAAGACCTCCCGCATTCACTTAGGAAGGCTATGGATGGATATTTACAAGTGGTTGTAACAAACTGTAGCACCAACAATGGTTCTGCAAGTACTTTCAGGAGATGGCTACCTCCACGTATGTGATAGATGCCCCCTTTTTTTAGGACCCAGTATGACTCAAATACTTGGACAACATATAGTCAGGTAAACAGAAAAACTCCACCTTGTCAAAGTAGTTTTGTTTGTTTTCCGAAATAAGAATTTATCCAAGGCAGTTCAAAGTGGCTTCTGTGCAGTCCTGAAGGCGGTTGAGAGGTTTTATTCACCAAATAGGACAGGTTTAGCCAGGCACCAGTGCTCATATCTGTAAACTTAACTATATGGTAGGCTGAAATTGTTGAGATCCCAGTTTAAGACTAGCTGAGGCAGAAAAAGTTCATGATTCTCCATCACAAGAAGCCTAACATAGATGGATCTCACCCAGGTATACACCTGTGCTGTGGCTCGAGCAGTAGAGCACTCGCCTTGAGCTGAAGAGTGCAGGGACAGCGCCCAAGCCCAGAGTTCAAGCCCCATGACCGACCAAAAAAAAAAAAAAAAACTGAACCAAAAATAATGAGCTATCAGCTATGAATGTGGCTTAGTAGTAAAGTACTTGCCTAGCATGCACGAAGCCCTGGGTTTGATTCCTCAGTACCACATAATAGAAAAAGCCACTGTGGCTCAAGTGGCAAAAGAAGCTCCGGGGGCTGGGAAGGTGGTTCAGTGGTAGAGCGCTTGCCTTGCATGCCTGAGGCCTTGGGTTCGATTCCTCAGCACCACATAAGCAAAAAGAAAAAAGCCGGAAGTGGGTGCTGTGGCTCAAGTGGTAGAGCGCTAGCTTTGAGCTGAAGAGCTGAGGGACAGTGCCCAGGCCCAGAGTTCAGGCCCCACAACCAGACCCCCCCCAAAAAAAAGAAGCTCCAGGACAATGCCCAGGCCCTGAGTTCAAGCCCCAGGACTAGCAATAATAATAATAATAATAATAAGCTTTTGGCAGTGGCTCGTGCCTATAATCCTAGATACTCTGGATTTTGACAGCTGGAAGACTGCAGTTAGAAGCCAGTCTAAGCAGAAATATGCAATGCTCCACCTCCAATTAACCAGCAAAATGCCTGGCTGGAGGTGTGGCTTAAGTGTAGAGCACAAGCTGTGAGCGAAAAAGCTGAGCAAGAGTGAGAGGCCCTGAGTTCAAACCCCAGTATTAGCATAAACAAACAAACACATAAACAAGTAAAAATCAGAGATAAGGCATGGCTTAGGGGGAAGAATAATTGTCTAGCAAGCAGGAGAACCCAGTACCATGAAAAGAAGGGAGGCAGATTAATTCATTAATTACAAACATATACAAGGAAATAAAGAATAAAAATAGATGGAACAAAGAAAAAAAAAACAAAAAAACCAGCAATAACTGTAACTCCTCTATCACTTTTAATCAAAAATTTGAAAACTAACCCAGCAAGATAACAGACAAGAAAACTTAGTCATATCAATAAATACATTAATGCAAACTGATGAATCATTTCAATTAAAGACAGAAATTGTCAGAGTAAATTTAAGAAACAAAAACAATTATATGAAATTTATATGTGCAGTAAGGCACTTATTAATTTTATTGCTTTTTTTTTAAAGAACCAGACTTTTTCCTTCCTGTCCTTTTTCTTTTCCTTTTATTTATTTATTTATTTTATTTATTTATTTATTTATTTATGCCAGTATTGGGGTTTAAACTCAGGGTCTGGGTATTGTCCCTGACCTTTTGCTCAAGGACAGCACTCTACCCTTGAGCCATAGCTCCATTTACACCTTTTTGGTAGTTGGAGGTAAGAGTCTCATGAATTTTCCTTCCTGGGCTGGAAAACAACAATCCCCAAATCTCAGCCTCCTCAGTTGTTAGGATTATAGGTGTAGGCCACTGGCACCCAGCTTATTTGACCATTTTCTTTTTTTCTTTCTGTTTTTCTTTACTTTTCTTTTTTTATTTATTTTTTATTTTTTGCCAGTCATGGGGCCTGAACTCTGGGCCTGGGCACTGTCCCTCAACTCTTCAGCTCAAGGCTAATGCTCTACCACTTGAGCCACAGCGCCACTTCTGGCTTTTTCTGCTTATGTGGTGCTGAGGAATCGATCCCAGG